ATTTGAACCCGGATTTGAACTCCAGTCTTTCGGGTTAGCAGGCGTATGCTCTACTATTCGACCACCCCGTCCCACTTTTGTCTAATAGGCTCAGTTTTATTTCATGTGTTAGATACACTGGTCATGATAGTGATAAATGAATACATATATATCATTATAAAGTGGATGATATAGAACATGTGCGTAGTTTAATTGGTGAGGCGGAAAAGTCAATTGGCTAGACTTGACCAGCAAGATGACAAACAGCAATGAAAACCTGAGACCATATAATTAGCAGATAGTCCCATACAGTAGAAGATCCCGGGTTTGAATCACTCGAGATAATAAAAAAAATCAAGACTTAATTAATTCCATAAAAGGGTGCACGACAGTCGGTGTGGGGGGGGGGAGGTAATCCCGGTATATCACACACGAGGGGAAGTAATTCGGTAATTGATGCAGTGCTTGCACGCTAGAGGAACAGACAAGGGAGATAACAGCAGCCGGATCGAGATGGGTGACCACTCTTTGATCATGTGATGACGCGGGGAGAAAATCACTACGCCGAGGTAGAAACAGTGAGATTGACCTGTGAGTTCTGTGGTAGAGGGGGCTGGATATTGATGAAAGTGCGCTAGTGTTGCATAATGTAATGTTATTCTACTCATTATCGGTTAAGATTTCTTTAAGATCGCCTTGATATTATAGATATATTAAATATTATTTGTAACCTTTTTTTTTGGCATTATATGTTTAATTGTTGTTATGATTGTGTGTATATTTTTTGTAATTGTACCTATAACATTATTTTTAGCGTTATCAAGGGATTTTTTTTTAAATGTCATCTAAAATAAGTGACCAAACAAAATCACGTGACCAGTGCTGTCCAACATGGTAATTGACGGGGGGCGGGGGGTAATTGCTCCGGGGGGGTGAATACGGAGGGGGTGGGGGTAATTTCCGGGGGGGGGGTAATGTCTTGTAGCCGTCCAACATATGACATAATTTGAAGTAAGCAACCTTACGATACTGGCAGTCTATGTGGTAGATGAAGTAGAGTTCACCTGTTTCTGTGACCTTGGTATATGAAGGGACAGTGTGGTCAGCACTATACCCAGCCGCCTTTACTTTACCTAATGTAAGTCAGGTACCCATTAGAGCTGGATGGACTCAGTGACGTCTTGCTGATTAAAGTTCGGGATCCGAACACGAGACTCTCATGTTAGCAGTCGTACGCTCTACCTTGTGTTGGCGACACGTGGCGTTGTTTTTTCAGCCTGATTCATAATGACTGTAAACTCTCTGATTTTTAAACCATAACTTAATATGTAACTACTATTTGATAGAATATAAACTACACTTTAATTGTTTTTCTCCGTGAATAATTAATCCCAGTTATTTTTTTTTTCATGAATAAAAAGATTTGAAAATACTTGAATTACTTAGTTACTGTGAGATTTGATTCGCTTTTTTATAAAGTGTGATTTTTATTTTTAAATTGACGTTTATGGATGTAAATATAAAGTGACCTTTATAGTCTGTGATTGATCGATTTAATAGCATCAGTGACTGGTGTACAATCGTCTAATTAATTAGCAGCTGGTGACGTCATCCTCTCGCACGCCAGATTTACTCATCGGATACCAGGACAACAAATTAGGACATACAACTAGGACATACAACTAGGACATACAACTAGGACATACAACTAGGACATACAACTAGGACATACAAATGGGTCATACAACTAGGACATACAACTAGGACATACAACTAGGACATACATCTAGGACATACAACTAGGACATACAACTAGGACATGCAACTAGGAAATACAACTAGGACATACAACTGGGACATACAACTAGGACATACAACTAGGACATACAACTAGGACATATAACTAGGACATACAATTAGGACATACAACTAGGACATACAACTAGGGCTTACAAGTATGCTATACAACTAAAAAAATACTACTACGATATACAATAAGGACATGCAACTAGGACATACATTTTATAATCTCTCACACCCATAATCCCACACACATTGGCCACTGTGTATATTCCTTGGATTATATGGTGTGACGTCATCTATATTTTTTTTCGTCTATGACGCAATCTGTTTATTCATTGTATTCGTATGACGCTATCCATATATTCCTAGTATGCGTATGACGCCATCTGTATATTCCTCTTATGCGTATGACGCCATCTGTATATTCCTCTTATGCGTATGACGCCATCTGTATATTCCTCTTATGCGTATGACGCCATCTATATATTCCTCTTATGCGTATGACGCCATCTGTATATTCCTCGTATGCGTATGACGCCACCTTAATATTCCTTGTATGCGTTTGACGCCATGTATGTTGTCTGACGTTGGTTATACCCCGTACGTATGTTGTCTGACGTATGTTGTTTGACGTTGGTTATACACCGTACGTATGTTGTCTGACGTATGTTGTTTGACGTTGGTTATACACCGTACGTATGTTGTCTGACGTATGTTGTCTGACGTTGGTTGTACCTCCAGTCCCGTCTGTCATGTCTCAATCACCAGCAGGGGACAAATGGGCGGGGCTAACTTTGACCAATCAGATTGATTGATTTTTCCCCTGACACTCACCGTGTAAATATCGGCCCGCGCCAGGTGAGGGCGGAAGTTGTCAGAAAGTTCCAGACTCGGCCTTAATTTTATGGAGATATCACATCGACAGCAGCGCGAGGTGGGGTGGGATAATCGGACATGGACAGAGAACGTGTAATTGTTCTATATCATAAATGAAGAAGGTTTTAGGAGTGTTACTTTCAACTGAATATGGTTTTAATTGTCAACGTGTGTGCGCCAATTGTTCATTCTATGCAAAACTAAACATCTGAACACACCATATAGTTATGAAGTTAAACACAATTAGACACCTAAATCACACCGTATGCTTCTCAAATTAAACACCACTAAACACCTTAACACACCGTATCGTTCTTAAGTTAAACACCACTGAACACGTAAATCACACCGTATAGTCATGACGTCTAACTAAAATAAGTATTTTTTTTTCAATTATCAGCATAGCACGATGTGTACCAACTTCAGTTAAAACTCAACAAGCTAATGAAAATTTATTAACAGCAACAGTCGATTAATTAATAAAAGTGGTATTTCCGGCGATTTTTTGTACCATAATTTGTATTGCTTATGGAAAGATGTATATTATAAAAAAACGAGCCGACCCGCTGCGTATCATACGCCGCTATTTAGTTGTTTTTTTTCTACTTTTCAGTAATTTATAATTTGTGAATTCGACAGTACCAATGCTGCCACTGAAAATATTTGCTTAAAAACACTAACCCCCCCCCCCCCCCAACGTGAAAGCAGCCTCCCCATAGTTACCTCCTCTAAGTTTAAAATCGTTTCAAACTAAATTATCTGCCCCTAATAGCCGTCACCAAACCCGTCGCTATGATTGTAAAATGTAAACAGCGTGAACCACAGCTCACCAGACCATGTGAGGGGGTGGGGGTTGGGGGTGGGGGGGTGGGGTGGGGGGTGGTGGTAGCGATAGAGAGGAAGAGAGGGGACTGTACGGCGCGCTTGCAGCTTGTTTTCTAACGGCTCCCAGAAGAGAATTATATATAGAGATAGTTTATATAATGATGAATTGTTATATGAACTTGGAAGTTTAAATATTTTTGTACGTAAAGAAGGTAATATGTTCTATGTGGTATTTTACAATATGTTAAGCTTTTCTGACCGCTGCCCTTTACCCAGCTAACTCCCACACTAGCTGGTTGTAAAACGCCCAAAGAAAATCAACGTTTGGTCGTTTAAACCCCCATCCCCCCTCCCTCTCCACCCCCAAAAATTCACTTGAAGTATTTATCGCTTTTAATGACAAACCAATACTCTAAACCTTGAGCAACACCCACACCTTAATCCACTCAACTTTCATTTTGTTAGTGCCACCTTAATCATTTTAACTGATTTCGTATGCCAGAGTCACCACCAACTATGTCACCACCAAACACGCCACCACCAAACAGGTCAATTCAGAACATGTCACCACCAAAAATGTCACCACAAAACACATCACCCCATACGGTGTCGCAACAAAAAATGTCACCACCAAAAATGTCACCACCAAAAATGTCACCACTAATCATGTCACCCTCAAACACATCACCCATACGGTGTCACCACCAAACATGTCACCACCAAAAATGTCACCACCAAAAATGTCACCACCAAAAATGTCACCACAAAATATGTCACCACATAAAATGTCACCACCAACAATGTCACCATCAGTGACGTCACCAACTAACATGTCACCACTAAACACGTCACCACCCAGACCATCACCACCACACACCAAAGCCACACCCCACTTCTGCTAACTGCCTCTCGTCTGCAACCTATTTCTACTATTAACATAAAAGTGGGCGGGCCCAATGCACGCGCTAGCCCTGTCATGTCAGCAACGCTCCAAGAGACGGTACCATCTAACCTGCAAACACCAGGACCCGATTGTTTTCTCCGTGACTATAACTTGCAGAACTGACCACTTTTTGCGCCAGACCTGGGTCGTCTGCGCTTCTACTGTTGAAATAAAGACCATTTATTGAAGCCGACTTTTATTCTAAACACACAGTTGCATATTTCTGTGGATTTTATCAGTGGTTTTCTACGTTTAAAAAACCCGACTAATTTTTGTTTATAGCTTTTTACGCTACGGAAAAGAAAGTCCCGTTTAGGAAATTCCCGTTGCTTTGAAACATTTTTTTTTTTAAATTGTGTAGGTTATCATGTTAGGAAATAAATAGATTTATAGTATGCTAGTTAGATTTTTGGACGAATAATTTCTATTTATAAAATTGAAATCAAATTCTCCATTTGTCAAGTGCGTCACAAATCCACCCGCCCATATTCGTCACGCTCGTCACAACGTCACAAGCCTCATAACAAGCTCAGCGTCACACCCGTCACAAGTACTAGACCCACAGGCTACCGAGATGAAGATGTTCCCGAGGTTCATGTCGCCGCCCGCTCCACAACACCAGCAGACGACAGCCAACCTGATGCACCACCAGCAGACGGCAGCCAACCTGATGCACCACCAACAGGCACAGCAGACGATGACTGCCAATCTCCTGACACAGCACCCGTTCTATGGCTTGCCGAGGTAAGAAAATATTTTTAGCGGGTTCGAGCCCACGACAGAAAAACACACACCTCTGAAAATGTTTATGCATATTAGTTTTATGTTATTTTTATTTTTATTTTTTAATTTTATATTTAAGAGCAAAACCCTGGATATTCATTTAAACGGGGTTTCCCGAATATTTATTTATTTAATTTTTCCTTTTTAAATTCAAATAAAACTTTATTTTGTAATATAATTTACAATAAAACTATATATTTTCAATATAATTAGCAATAAAACTATATATTTTCAATATAATTAGCAATAAAACTATACAGTTAGCAATATAATTTGAAATAAAACTATATATTTTGCAATATAATTTGCAATAAAACTAAATATTTTCAATATAATTTGAAATAAAACTATTTATTTTACAATATAATTCGCAATAAAACTATATATTTTACAATATAATTTGAAATAAAACTATATCTTTAACAATATACTTTGAAATAAATTCATATATTTTACAATGTAATTTGAAATAAAACTATATGTTTTACAACATAATTTGAAATAAAACTATATATTTTACAAAATAATTTGAAATAAAAACAATATATTTTACAACATCATTTGAAATAAAACTATATATTCAGCACAATGGTCTCTTATATTGTATCACAAGTATTTAGAGATCTTGTATTTTATTTTAAGAATCAAAATTTGTAAAGAAAAAAAAAGAATTTAAAAAAAAAAGCTTTACGTAAAACTGCCTACGCGGATATATTCAAACCTTCATTTTCTTCAGAATCAATGATAACAAAATAATCATGTGCCCACGGGATAACCCACCATTTAAATAATTAGCGGACGAAAAATATCAGTAAAGTAAATCGATATTTGTGTAAATTTAGTACGCCAATATCTGTAATATAAATTGAACCCCTCTCCATTTGGTTAGAATACGTAGGTTTTCAAGATTAATGTTAATGTGCAAAGCACAAAAAATTATTTTGTCTGTACCATCACATAAAAAGATATAAACATTCAAAGAAAAAAATGTCTTTATAGCTCTGGAATTCAATATTCTTAAAAGTATTTTTTTTAATTATTATTTTTTGGAGTGTGTAATTTTGTTTTTTACAAATTTATTTCTCGCAAACTTGTCTCAGTCCTTTTTAAAACCCAAAACAAATACCGATCAACTAATAAATCAGGAATGATACTTACTCTTGCTTTACAGTATTCTAAGGACTTATTTACTTTTACACTCACACACACACTCCCAACACGTTAAATGTGCGCGCATTTTTATTAACACTAAAAGGTATAATAATAAATAGAGAAAGTAAAAATAAAAGTTTTTAATAGCAAGCATTAGTTATGCACTAAAAAGAAGAAAAATAAAATAAATTTTCTTTAAACATAACCATGTGCTACATTCTCTGAAACGTTAAATAAAAGCATTGGTAACTTTTAAATTGTTACTAAGCGTGAACAATTACCACCCCCATAAAGCAGTATTCAAGTATATAGTAAAGAATCGTATATTTCTATTTAGGGATGTGACGACCATCGCATCTAGTGTATAAAACTCCGCCCACTTCTTCTGAATGTTTATCAAAATCTGCACATTTTTTAATGCGAAAAAAATTGCTAAAATGCAATGTCTATTATTGAATATTTGCAAACGCATAAGTGTGACGTAATACATATTGGGCATCCCCCCCCTCATCAAACATCGTCACAATCCTATTGTGACGTCATTTATGTACACCCCCCTAACCCCACCCCCACCCCCTTATGTATTTAGTTATTTATTGCCAAACTATTATAAGAACGAGGCAAATAGCTTTAAAATGACATTCGTAACTTTGAAAAAACAAAAAGTATTGAAATCGATATACGAGCGGCCGTCGCCAATAGCTGTAGCTAACTGTGAGACTTTTGTCATTGTGTAGGTCCTTTCTGATGTCCTACCTTATAAGGTACATTGTTCGTAGAATAAAAAAAAAAAAAAAAAAAAAAATATTTTTGCTTGACAAAAAGTCTTTAATTCAGACATAACACAAAAAGAAGTTGGAAATTTAATTTTTTTACGTAGTCCACCCCATTCCCCACCCACTTTTGGTACTGTAAAAAAAATTCTACGTGTGTGATATGTGTGTGGGTTTATGGTATGTGTTGTAGTGAGTTACTGTGAGTTATATGATAATGTAGTTGTTGTATGAAGTTGTGGTTGTTTTATTAGAGTGTGTGGTTTGTGTGTGAATGTAAATTAGCTTTGTTACTTTTTTTTAAATTGTAGCATATGTGACATTTTAAATTGCTGCTGTGGGCTTTTTGGTATAGTTGTGTATAGAGGAGGGAGAACATAAAAACACGAGATCGCATTTGCACTTAACACCGTCAAACACCACCAAACACCACCCAACTGCACCTACCGTTCAAGCAATCGACATGCATCAACAGACAAATTCAGCCGGTTTTTATATCTCTCGCCGGCTCGCGTCCGGTTTTTATATCTCTCGCCGGCTCCCGTCCGAAATCACTTCCGACCTCGCTCTGCTGAACCTGCACAAATCACGTGACGGCAGTCAACAACCTGCCTGTCACCTGCCGCACGTGACCACGTGAGCTGCAGGTCGCGCGTGCTTGAGCTCAGTGTCCGCCAATCAACGCCTGAGAAAGACGGTCACGTGACCCTGTTGTTGGAGGTTAATCCAGGTAAATAGAAGGCTAATCCACTGCTCGTGAGTACTGAATCCACTGTCCGTGAGTACCGAATCCACTGCTCGTTTGGCGTCAGTTCCAGCCGGTTGGGGGATTTGTTACGTCATCCTGACCTTGGTACCGACAGTTAATTGTTTCCTAATTTGCATTTAATTAGTTGAAGCTGGCAATTCATGTACAAGAGACCATCCGTACATGATGTCGCGCTTTTTGGGCCGAATGTCACCCACATGACGCTTTAAAGTTACAAGGCGGTAAGCAAACTTAAGTTTCCTCCGGGGACGGAGGGGGGGGGGGGATAACGCGGACACAGGTAAACGTATTATATTTTCTTATTGTAAAGTACACGTTTAGCCGTTACTCTTGTCCATACATACCAGTTTAGCTCAGAAATTACCCATGTCTTAACATGCCTGCTTAGATCTCAATTCGCTTACCATAACAGAAAAATTTAGTTCTAAATTTCCGCACAATCCCGAATAGCTCTAAATTTACCCTTGCTGTCGCAAAGTTGTTTTACTCTTATGTGTCCCAACTCTCAAATACCCGTTAAACCCTGAAGTTACCCTTACCCTCATACACCCGTTTAACCCTAAAGTTACCTTTACCCCCAAATAAACGTTTAACCCTAAAGTTACCCTTACCTTCAATTACCCGTTTAACCCTGACTTTGCCCTTACCCCAAATACCCGTTTAACCCTGAAGTTACCCTTTCACTCAAATACCCGTTTAACATAGAATCTTCACGGTGCTAAAGTCACGACCATAAAACATTTAGACCATTTTCACACGCCGTTCCCACCCCCATCAATAACTAATGCCTGCCCCGGGGTGGTCCCCGCTAATCACTGACATCTCCAGAACCTTCTAGAATCTGCCACAATGCCAGACCATTTGACTCCCGCCTCGACCCCAGTAGCGCGCCGTTTGTAAATCTATTATTAAAAATTGCACCATTTCGATAAAATGTTTATTCCCATGACCCATAACCGCGTCTACGACTGTCGTATGATTTGCTTCCCCTTGTCCTGTGATGTTGCAGAGTATAAATTATTTAATTTGACAGAGGGGGTTATAGAGAGACCGGGGGGGGGGGAGGTATGGGGTGATGAGATGCTTTTCTATCAACAACATCTTTGATTTTTGTATCGATAACGGCGTATTTTTAGGTTTCCCAGAAAAATGCGCATACTGAAAATTGCGAAACGGAAAAATGCGCAAACAGAAAAATGCGCAAATACAAACTAATTATAGTAATTAACTTTAATTTTTTTTCATATTTCGTGGGAAAATGTTTTATTATGATACAATATACATGTGGTCATTCTTTGTTAATTTCTATAAATGCTCGACTTAAGAAAAAAAATTCCATTGCGCACTTCTTTTGTGCGCAATTTTCCGTTGCGCAGCTTTCCAGTCACGATTATCAGTACATTCAATACAACTTCAAGACATTACTCGAACATTCGCTCCAAACCTTGTCACATTTGTAATCAACTTTTATACGCCTATAATCCATAACGCTAATCCTCTCTCCCCAAATTACTTAAATACAACCCCCTCCACATGAAACTCCACACCCATCAACACCCCCCCCCCCCCACACCCACCTCCCTCACTACCCACCCACACCTATCCACACTATATCTGATTCCATCATAAAAAAATCTGTATCAAAAATCTGTATCAACTCATTCCAGTTTTGATGACGTTACAGCATTAACCCTTGCATGATTAATTCATTGCAATAAATGTGTAAACCGATCACTTCCGAAGTCCCCACCCCAAGTGGTAAATCTTTTATCAGTGGCGTTTCATTTCAAATATCTTTTAAAATGGGATCGAGGTTGGGGGGCGGGGACTTGGTCAGCCGTAGTTTGAAACTGTTAATTAGATGGTAAACATGTTTTAATGAAGTTAGTTTTTTTTTTCTCACGGAGTGAATCAGTCACGCTTGACTTCACCGACGCGCATGCGAAATTCGGAATGTGAATATTAATCAGGTATGGCGAGGAAATCCCGTCGCGCGGGGGATGCGCCAGGGGAGGGGACGATGAGCCCAGGGAGCCGCTGCTGGCTCATGTCTCAGTGGCCTGATCAAATCTCTCCCACCGCGGCGCCACGGCTCATTAACCGCTCGCGCTATTGCCTCGTAGTGTGACGGCTGCTCACTCGTGGCGCGCGGGGATTAGCACGAGCGTTTACGGTCAGGTATAGACGTGAGCAGAAGATGACATCCTTTGTCTGGGAGGAAAATATGACGATATACATATATATATATATATATATATATATATATATATATATATATATATATATATATATATATATATATATATATATATATATATATATATATATATATATATATATATATATATATATATATATATATAAGCTTTTTTTACATTCAAATAATTTACTGATGTTTTCGAAAATACTGTAACTATAGCCACAATAGTATTTTTGGTTACTTACATCCATGGAAAAATTACGCAAATGTTTCTTTCAAAAAGTGGCGTCTCTGATATAATATATCGCACGAAAGATTTGATAAATACGATCATAAACAAAAACTATATTCGAGTCGTCTTCAATAATTTAAAAAAAACTTAAAACTATATTATAGATTATTATCTAATGTTATTCATATATTTTAAACCAAATAGTATTAGCATATTCTTATTTCACTCAAATTAAAGGGGTTTTTTTAAATCTATTTTTATCCAACCAGCCCCTTTGTTCCCCACTGTGACCCTCCCCCTCAAGGCACAGACCTTATGACGTCATTGCCTCCCATCCTCCCCCGCTTCCCTCTCTACCTCCCGCGGGTGTCTCCGGACGTCCACCTCTTCCTCCCCGGTCTCACTTCCGGTCTGACCCCGAGACCTTCACCCCAGCACTCGTTTTTCACCCTGGCTGACCTTGACCTCTGCCTGTACGGGAACACGTCCTGGCTGACGAGCAAAACTTCCGGTGCCAGCAAGACTCGATCCTACACCTTCAGTGGGATCAGGATCAGCCAGCAGAATAATGGTATGTCCTAATTCGGGATACATGTGTTGTGTTCAGTGTTTCTTCCAGACTTTTTTTTTCTCCGGGCGGGGGGGGGGGGGGCTTGATATTTTCGGGGCGGACTACATTTTACAAGGGGGGGGGGGGTTGTTATTTTCGGGGCGGATTATATTTTCCAAGGGGGGGGGGGGGGTCGGACACTGGTAAAAGTATTTAAAGTATGTTGTATATTTGTCTATATAAATTCCATTTCGTGCCGCGTGGGATGGGTAGACTTTAAATAATTGCGTTCTAGTGAGATACTGCTTTTGTGAATCGATTCGATTTTAATGAAAACTAAAAGCTTTAATTTAAGATTGTAATAATAACGCAAAGAGTATAAAGAAATGCGTTGATCATCGTTACTCAAAAGTACGACACAAGTATATTATAAAAGTACGACTTAATTTTAGTGAATAATTAAAAGCTTGTTATTTTAATTCTTTTTATTTAATCTTTATTTATCTATCGCAATTTTTCAAACATCAAATTAAAGGGCTATATTGATATTGATATTTTTATCTGTGTGTCCTCAACTGAAATTTTTTCTGCTGCCAGATTCCACAGGTAACAGTGACATGACGTCACAGTACCAACTGGCACCGTGGCGCTCCCATAAATCTGTGCCACCTGTCCACGACCTGCCCAAAGGTAAGTTTAGCCGTTGATGTTTCCAGAACTTTCTGAAATCTGGTACCTCAGAACAGTGGTAAATTAAACATGGTAGTGTTCTTCTTCTTCGTTCTTAATTTTAGAGTTGAAAGGGATTCCCTCAAACACAATTAAGTATAGATCTACGTGTCAACTGGTTATGCGCCATTGAGGCCATTGACTCCGATTTTAGCCTGCTTTTCTTTTTGGTCCAAGCACGTTTGAGGAAAATTAAACTTTTTGTAGTTTTGGTGCATTAAATGTTTGAGATGTGTCAGTCAATGAATGAAAGCCGTTCATAGACTTCATTTATCGTTTCGCGTGCATACCTAAGACAAATGGGATAGACGAAGTAGAGTTCATCTACTTCAATGACCTCGGCAACAAAGTGAGGGATTATTTGACCAGCATTGTGGCCTCGGTGACATCCTATATACTCGAGCCCTGTGGATCTGAACTCGCGACTTTTGGGTTAGCAGTCGTAAGCCCTACCATTTGACCACGTCGGTACATAGGCTAGTCATCTAGATTGATGTTGGCAGTATCGAGAGCCGGAAACTAGCGACAAAATTGTTCTCTGAGATAAGTTGTAAGTAGATATGTCAGGCCTTTTATGTTTGCTTCGTGTCTACACAATTGTTCCGTAATCTAAGATTGATTGAAGTCAAGCAATACAAAACATAGATCTAGTAATAGCGAGGTTGGTATTCGTTTTAAACTTGAAATGTTAACCCTATACCAACCGCGGTGTTTTTGTTGATTGGATGTTTTAAACTTTCAATGTTAACCCTATACCAACCGCGGTGTTGTGTTGATTGGATGTTTTAAACTTTAAATATTAACCCTATACCAACTGCGGTGTTTTTGTTGATTGGGTGTTTTAAACTTGAAATGTTAACCCTATACCAACTGCGGTGCATTGTTGATTGGGTGTTTTAAACTTGAAATGTTAACCCTATACCAACTGCGGTGTTTTTGTTGATTGGATGTTTTAAACTTGAAATGTTAACCCTATACCAACTGCGGTGTTTTTGTTGATTGGATGTTTTAAACTTGAAATGTTAACCCTATACCAACTGCGGTGTTTTTGTTGATTGGATGTTTAAAACTAGAAATGTTTACCCTATACCAACTGCAGTGTTTATGTTGATTGGATGTTTTAAACTTGAAATGTTAACCCTATACCAACTGCAGTGTTTATGTTGATTGGATGTTTTAAACTTGAAATGTTAACCCTATACCAACTGCGGTGTTTTTGTTGATTGTATGTTTTAAACTAGAAATGTTAACCCTATACCAACTGCAGTGTTTTTGTCGATTGGATGTTTTAAACTTTAAATGTTAACCCTATACCTACTGCGGTGTTTTTGTTGATTGGATTTTTTAAACTTTAAATGTTAACCCTATACCAACCAAGATGTTTTTGTTGATTGGATGTTTTAAACTTTAAATGTTAACCCTATACCAACTGCGTTAGTTTTGTTGATTCGATGTTTTAAATGTTAACCCTATACCAACTGCGGTGTTTTTGTTGATTGGATGTTTAAAACTTGAAATGTTAACCCTATACCAACTGCGGTGTTTTGTTGATTGGATGTTTTAGACTTTAAATGTTAACCCTATACCAACCAAGATGTTTTTGTTGATTGGATGTTTTAAACTTGAAATGTTAACCCTATACAAACTGCAGTCTTTTTGTTGATTTAATGTTTTAAACTTTAAATGTTAACCCTATACCAACTGCGAGCTTTTTGTTTATTGGATGTTTTCAGGGCTGGTGTTGTCGCAGACAAATCTGGCTGGCGTCGGTCACTACGCCGTGTTCTGTGGGTCAAAGGTCATCCCAAAGGGGACAAGATTTGGGCCGTTCAAGGGCAGGGTGGTCAACCCTAGCGAAATGAAGACGTTTGCTGATAACGGTTATATGTGGGAGGTTGGTTAATCATTATGTGTGGGAGGTTAGTTGTGGGGGGATATGTGTGGGAGGTTGGTTAATGATTATATGGCGGAGGTTATGTGTGGGAGCTTGGTTATGTGTGGGAGGTTATATGTGGGAGGTTGGTTAATGATTATGTGTGGGAGGTTATGTGTGGAAGGTTGGTTATGTGTTTATTATACGTGGAAAGTTGGTTAATGATTATGTGGGGAGGTTATGTGTGGGGGGATATGTGTGGGAGGTTATGTGTGGGAAATTGGTTATGTGTGGGAGGTTATATTTGGGAGGTTGGTTAATGATTATGTGTGGGAGGTTATGTGTGGGGGATATGTGTGGGAGGTTATGTGTGGGAGATTGGTTAATCATTCTGTGTGGGTGGTTATGTGTGGGAGGTTATGTGTGGGAGGTTATGTGTGGGAGGTTATGTGTGGGAAGTTGGTTATGCGTGGCAGGTTATGTATGGGAGGTTGGTTAATGATTATGTGTGGGAGGTTATGTGTGGGCGGTTGGTTATGTGTGGGAGGTTATGTGTGGGAAGTTGGTTATATGTTGGAAGTTGGTTATGTATAGAAGGCTATGTGTGAGAGGTTGGCTATGTGTGCGAGGTTGGTTAAGTGTGGGGGCTGGTTATGTGTGGGAGGTTTATTATGTGCGGGAGGTTGGTTATGTATAGAAGGCTATGTGTGAGAAGTTGGCTATGTGTGCAAGGTTGGTTATGTGAGGGATGGTATGTGTGGGTTATTGGTTATGCGTGGGATGTTGGTTATGTTTTGGATGTTATGTGTGGGAAGTTGGTTAATGGTTATGTATGATATCTGTTTTGGCTACTGTGTCATTTACATGCAAGGATATCTACCTCATTCCCTCACTCTTACTCATTTGACCCCCCCCCCTCCCCTTTCCCCATCTAGCCCTCTACGTGTTAAGCACATTATAAATGTTTTCAGATTTTTAAAGATGGCCGCCTAAGCCACTTTCTCGACGGAAGAGGAAGTGCTGGCAACTGGATGTCATACGTGAACTGCGCGCGCACACTGGTGGAGCAGAATCTGACAGCGTCACAAGATGGCGACTTTATTTACTATGAGGTGATATCGGCATGCGCGTTTCTGACATTTCATTTAATTTTTTTTAAAATTATTATATTATATTAGCCTGGCAGCATTTTTTAAAAAAAAGTGCATGTAAATCTGCAACCTATTATTTTCTTTTATTCTGAAAATGCGCAAGTGTAATATCTATTGAACGGAACTAATATTATTGCCGTTGTCTAATGCTAAAAAGAAAATTAAGACATACAGATGAACTATTTAAATTTTATGCGAGGTAACCAAACAAACAAAAACTGGAGATATTAGGTTTTCTATAAACGGATTTTTTAAACAAAGAAAACTGTTCGGGCTTTCCCAAAACTAGCATCCTTTAACGGGTTTTTCCAATACTAACATGAAGAATCGGGTTTTTCCAGAGCTGCTGTGACATTCCCCCAGGAGCCGAGCTGTTGGTGTGGTACACGGAGACCTACGAGCAGTTCATGGGGATTCCCCTCGGCCTTCAGGGTTCAGGGACCAAGAATGTCAAGGACACTCCTGATCAGGAATGTAGGTAGATGCTGTGATGTTTCGGTTGATGGACGCACTTCCGGTTAGAGAGAGACGTAGTTATATATCTTGGCGTATTCCCGGGATTGACTCAGAATAGGGCTGGTAAGTAGGTCACCAACCAGTTCTACGGCTCAATAAAACCTGCATGAGCCATTGAACTGTTTGGTGACCTACTTACCAGCCCTATTTTGGAGACAATTTTCGAATATAAGGACGGACCGTGCTGCCACTTACGAAGCAATTGTTATACTTATACAGAGGCGTAGCGACCCTTCCCGGCGCCCGGGGACAAACTTTTCGATTTGCATCCCCCCTCGAGATTTTGATTTGCACCCCCCCCCCCTCAAACTTTCGATTTGCATCCCCCCCCCCCCCCTCGAGATTTTGATTTGCACCCCCACCCCCCTCAAACTTTCAATTTGCACCCCCCTCAACCTTTCAATTTATTTTTCCAACCCATTTTGGCGCCCCCTAAGCTCGGCGCCCGGGGACATATGTCCCCCCCCCGCCCCCCCCCCCTCGCTACGCTACTGTACTTATATTAAAAATGTCCCACACAGAACCCACCTACCCCACTTCTACATACATATACACATAGACACAAACCCACACATACACTCACGCCCACATAAACACACACTTGGCAAGCCACTATTAGCTTGCTAAAATCACTTCCGAATGCTTTACGCACAATGAAGCTAATTACAATTTATTATGCCATTATGTATGCTAAAATCATGAGTCTTATTAGAAGTGGACGCTTACCCCATAATCTAAATCGGTTAAACCGGAAGTGCGTACAAAAGCCGATAACCCGGAAATAGATGAAAACAATCTATAAATACGCAACTCGTTAAACCGGAAGTACTTTGTTCACCAGCCGGATGTGGGTACCAGTGCGAGCATTGTGGGAAGGTGTTCACGTACAAGTACTACAAGGACAAACACCTCAAGTACACCAAGTGTGTGGACCAAGGTGACCGGAAGTTCCCGTGCCAGCTGTGCAACAGGTAAATAAAAACGTCACCAGTGCGCATGTCTAAGTTTTGTTTCCGGTGCTATTTGTTAATAGCGAATTTTAAACTTTTTTTTTCAGCAATGCACCTCACGTGTATACACAAACATGAATGTGCTTACCCCCATGTTCCGTTTTTCGTTACTACTTTTTGCATGTACGAGTGTGTAGCTGTATGTGTAGATGTAGGCGTACCTGTACGTGTAGGTGTACATGTATTATATTTCGTAAACTGTATGCCCTATACCGTGTACGTGAATGTGTACGTCTACGCAAACCCATCAAATGTCTATACTTCTAATTGCCGCAGATCATTCGAGAAAAAAGATCGACTACGTATCCATGTCCTCCACGTCCACGAGAAACACCGCCCCCACAAATGTGTGGTGTGTGGGAAAAGTTTCAGTCAGTCGTCCAGCTTGAACAAACACATGAGGGTGAGTATCTTTGTTAAGTCATCAAAGCTATTGACGTCCAGAGGCGTATCCAGGTTTTCGTTGTAGGGGGAGCGAAAAGCGCAAAAAAGGCGTTCTATATACGTGTATTATATATATATATATATATATATATATATATATATATATATATATATATATATATATATATATATATATATATATATAAAATTACTAGCTGTATGTCATTACTTCGCTATGATGTAAAATAAATTGAAAATAGCACTCTGAAGAAATAAGAAAAAACACACAATGTAGTCCGACAAAACAAAAATTGTATCAATCTAAACAAAAACAAAAAAAAAATCTACACACACTACAACCAAAAACAATGAACGTAACACAATCTGTTTTGTAATTCTTGTAAACAAATTTCTTACAATTCCTGGGAAATTATTTAAGACAAGTGAAATAGGGGAAATAATTACCCTCTTAATATAAATATGTATCTATCTACACATTTAATTATAAATGTCAAAACAAATAAATAATTACTTTAGAATATAATTAAATTGTTTAACACTATTCGTGTTTACAAAATTTTTTTGTCTATAATCATAATTTAATATATCATCATCATAAATGCTAAAGTATTACAGCATAATGAACGTTTTTAAAATCAGAGTTGGTATAAAACCACGCTTTTCGATATAAAGATAACATTCGGAATAAAAGCCTACATTTAACTAAATATATGTCTTTTAGTTCGGATCATATATTTTTAAATAACTACTGCTTCTTTGTGCTCTTTAAAGATCATTTTTTAACATAGTGATAGCTATGGGTTAGATCAGGGGTCTCCAAACTACGGCCCTCGGGCCGAATGCGGCCCGCGATGTCCTCTCATCCGGCCCGCGGAGATCATTTTGTCCAAGGAAAAAACGTTTGTTGGTGATGGCGGAGGAACTTTGCCCAGAGAATTCAAAGACATTTCTGGAAGAAACTGGCCCCCGAACTGAAATTTGATAGTTAATGTGGCCTTCGGACTGAAAAGTTTGGAGACCCCTGGGTTAGATCACTGTATTGATCACACACCTTTTTACTGGTAATTGCAAAGACAATATTCACAGAGTTTTACATTTAAAAAGCTATTTTTTTTTGGCGGCATGGTACTTTGGTACATCACTACGCGTTTTTCTACATGTACTTAACAGATCATTTCGGGGTGGGTTGGGGGGGGGGGGGGTGGTGGGTTCAACTTCATTCACCACTGTCCGATCATTTTAGTTCAATTATTCAACCCAGTGTATACCTAGGTGTGACATTAATATCGCTCTACACAATTGTGGTGGTGAGGTGTGTGTGTGTGGGGGGGGGGGGGGGGGAAATAACCAACTCAGAATGAACATAGAGTCAGTTTTTAGATGACTGTTCTAAACATACATATATATTACACACATATATATTACACAAATATATATTACAGAAATAGATTTAAATAAGTAGCAGTGGTATTATGACAATATTTTTTTTACAGACGGGTCCATGGGGGAGGGGGCTTGTAACTGTTTCATATAATTTGTAATCGTAATCACTATCGCCCAAACTGTAAGAATACTACTACTTCATCATGATGACTTTGTTGACCTTGTCGAAATTTCCCCACCACTACGCAGTTTGCTCATCAGTAAATTTAAATAGAGGTGCCACATCAGTTGTATTTGTTTCTGTATTGCAATTTAAAAAAAATTAACACACGATTCAAGCTGTAAATATAAAGTAATTATGTGTGAAGTTTTATGTATAACATTTTCTAATTCAATTATTCGTAAGCAAATACATTATACAGTTGCCTTAAACTTAAAACCCCTCTTGCCAAGTGGTAATACCGTAGAGGTTTTTTAAACATTGCAATGCATTGTAATGGTTATTCCCACGTTTTCTTTAACTTGCTTTCTCTGTGTCTTTGTTTGTTTGTTTGTCTTTCCAATCAAATCTTGCGATCGAAATTTCTGGCACTTCCCAGTTAGCTAGCGCGCTGAAATTTTCAGGGAAGCTTTCTTTTGGATGACCATTGACTATTCAATTGTTATTATTACTAAATTGATCAATGGAAACATTTTATTGAGCATTTTAGACCGCTGTATAATCTATATATATAATTCTCCTCTGCTAGCCATTAGAAAAAAAACCAGCGACGCGTACCTCGCGCGCAGTGAAGCGAACGATCACATGTCGCCACAGGCTTAGGGGCAGAGAATTTAGCTTGAACCGAGTTTAAACTTACAGGAGGTAGGCCAGTTTGGGGGAGACGATATGGTCGAGTGGTTGGGCACACGATTGCTATCCCACTCGACACGGGTTCAAATCTATGTGTTCTAGTCAGTAACGTATTCAAACAACGTGCTTTTTACGAGTTGTCTTTTTACGAGTTGTCTTTTTACGAGTTGTCTTTTTACGAGTTGTCTTTTTACGAGTTGTCTTCGTTTACCCAAAAAAAGTGAAAAGATAAAATCGATAGCAAGATTTTAATGCAAACAAACAGACAAAGACTAAAAAGTAGAAAATAATAATCATTAAAAAAGTTTTTAAAAACCCACGTTTTCTGATTGAACTAAAAAGTAGAAAATAAATGCTATAGGCCCTACATCACAATAATGCAAGCGATCACTCTACTATAAGCGAGCAAAAACGTGGGGCGCCGTGATTTTCTTACAGTTTCTAATACTGTTGACTCTCTACAAGCTCCCTAATAAAAGTCAATAGTATTATCTAATCAATAGTAATATAACTTTTACTTCGGCGCCCCACGTTTTTCATCGCTTATAGTAGAGTGATCGCTTGCATTATTGTGATGTAGGGCCTATAGCATTTATTTTCTACTTTTTAGTTCAATCAGAAAACGTGGGTTTTTAAAAACTTTTTTAATGATTATTATTTTTACTTTCTCGTATATACGTAGTATAGAGAAAGTATTGTAATCGTGCAAAAAAAAAAATCGAGATTTTTACAAATCTCGACGTTTTACACCTCACTGATACGGAAAAACATAATTTTGCAATCTTGTCCGTATGTCTGTGTGTGTGTGTGTCTGTGTGTCTGTCCGTGTGTAAACACGATAACTTGAGTACCGTTAGAGCTAGAATGATGAAATTTCATATTTAAGTATTTTATCAAAATCGTAGATCCGTATCAACTTTTGAGCGATTTCCGATAACCGGAAGTGGTACTTTTCCTACTTTGAATTTTCCAAAAGCCTATAACTTGAGTACTATTTCAGATAGATAAATGAAATTTCACATGTAAGTAAAAGATCTAATTCTCTACCTTCTGTTAAATTTTGAATAATTTCCGTTGACTGGAAGTTGTAATTTACGCTACTTCCGATTTCTCAAAAAACTAATGTAAATTTATTAAGTACTAATACTATTGCGCACTATTATACACACCTTTATTAGGCGTTCGCTTGGTGCGCAATTGTTTTTTACTGAGATTCTATTTTATTTTTAAAAGTTTAAGTATTTAAAATGGATTAAAAATCATAACTATATCCCCAGTTACCATCCACTGTTGTTTTATATAAGAATATTCGAGAAAGTTTAGGGGAGATCACTACCGGTTTATTAGAATGGCAAACTGATGCAGCTGTTAATACGTGTTGTAAACGTAGACACTACTAGACTAGTACAATAATGCTTAATTGCTGCAAGAAAAGAAATCTTGTGATTTACATAGATGTGCCGACCAAAAATATTTTTTTAACAAATATCATTGTTTAAAAATTTGATTTTAAAAAGTTTCCAAAAAGGCGCCACTTTGCTGAAAATGGCCAGAGGGGGAGCGGCCGCTCCCCCTGCTCCCCCCTGCTTACGCTACTGTTGACGTCACTTGATGTTGTGACGTCATGGGGTTCAACGGGGCTGAGTGCCGCCTGTACCCTAAGCTTACTTTGGGAAAAACATGAAGCTGTTGAATATACCAGGGGTATATACATACGTTCTGGAGGGGGTGGGAGGCATGCAGGGGGAAATGTAGAAAAAAGTGTACATTTTTATATGCGTTGAATTTGATGGTATAAAAATGTGTTAAGTATTTTAAATACAAATTATAGAGACATTTTTATATACCATCAAATATATTCCAACATTTGAACATTATCACATTGTAGAGTGGTTTAGATAGTGGTACTGATAAATAGCTTAGACATCGGCATAAATAGTGGCATTGGCTAGGAGAGTGAAAGACGATAGCCTGTGTAGTAGCACACATAATTTCATTGACTGTTCCATGTATATAACAAAGACTAGGCTGCTTTAAAACTACGAAAGTGACATGTATATTGTGTGATGGGACTACAGCACTGTCAAGTCTGTTTCTTCTTCTTCTTCTTCTTCTACTTCTTCGTTCTCTTCATTGTAAAATTGGACGGGATTTCCTCCAACACAATTAAGTATTATGTATCAATATATTGTGTGCCATATGAACTGCTTTTCTTTCTGGATGTGCTTCCTTTGTCACACAATATAGAATTAAACAACGCAGAAGTTGTTTAATTTTGGAGATTTCACGCGTAAATGGGTTGTTGTCACCAGCTAACGAGCCTCGTCTACCCTGGGTTTGAACTCTCTGTATGAATTAGACCAAACACCACATTTAAAACATCTCCAAACACCACATTTCAAACATCTCCTGACGACTGTATGAATTAGACCAAACACCACATTTCAAACATCTCCTGACGCCTGTATGCATTAGACCAAACACCACATTTCAAACATCTCCTGACGACCGTATGAATTAGACCAAACACCACATTTCAAACATCTCCTGACGACTGTATGCATTAGACCAAACACCACATTTCAAACATCTCCTGACGACTGTATGAATTAGACCAAACACCAGATTTCAAACATCTCCTGACGACTGTATAAATTAGACCAAACAGCACATTTCAAACCTCTCCTGACGACCGTATGAATTAGACCAAACAGCACATTTCAAACATCTCCTGACGACCGTATGAATTAGACCAAACAAACATCTCCTGACGACCGTGTCTGTCTGAATTAGACCAAACAGCACATTTCAAACATCTCCTGACGACCGTATGAATTAGACCAAACAGCACATTTCAAACATCTCCTGACGACCGTGTCTGTATGCATTAGACCAAACAGCACATTTCAAACATCTCCTGACGACCGTATGAATTAGACCAAACAGCACATTTCAAACATCTCCTGACGACCGTATGAATTAGACCAAACAGCACATTTCAAACATCTCCTGACGACCGTATGAATTAGACCAAACAGCACTTTTCAAACATCTCCTGACGACCGTATGCATTAGACCAAACAGCACATTTCAAACATCTCCTGACGACCGTATGAATTAGACCAAACAAACATCTCCTGACGACCGTGTCTGTCTGAATTAGACCAAACAGCACATTTCAAACATCTCCTGACGACCGTATGAACTAGACCAAACAGCACATTTAAAACATCTCCTGACGACCGTATGAATTAGACCAAACAGCACATTTAAAACATCTCCTGACGACTGTATGAATTAGACCAAACACCACATTTAAAACATCTCCTGACGACCGTATGAATTAGACCAAACACCACATTTAAAACATCTCCTGACGACCGTATGAATTAGACCAAACAGCACATTTAAAACATCTCCTGACGACCGTATGAATTAGACCAAACAGCACATTTAAAACATCTCCTGACGACCGTATGAATTAGACCAAACAGCACATTTAAAACATCTCCTGACGACCGTATGAATTAGACCAAAAACCACATTTCAAACATCTCCTGACGACCGTATGAATTAGACCAAACAGCACATTTAAAACATCTCCTGACGACCGTATGAATTAGACCAAACAACACATTTAAAACATCTCCTGACGACCGTATGAATTAGACCAAACACCACATTTAAAACATCTCCTGACGACTGTATAAATTAGACCAAACACCACATTTAAAACATCTCCTGACGACCGTATGAATTAGACCAAACACCACATTTAAAACATCTCCTGACGACCGTATAAATTAGACAAAACACCACATTTAAAACATCTCCTTACGCCTGTATGCATTAGACCAAACACCACATTTCAAACATCTCCTGACGACTGTATAAATTAGACCAAACACCACATTTCAAACATCTCCTGACGACCGTATGAATTAGACCAAACAGCACATTTAAAACATCTCCTTACGCCTGTATGCATTAGACCAAACACCACATTTCAAACATCTCCTGACGACTGTATAAATTAGACCAAACACCACATTTAAAACATCTCCTTACGCCTGTATGCATTAGACCAAACACCACATTTCAAACATCTCCTGACGACTGTATAAATTAGACCAAACATCACATTTCAAACATCTCCTGACGACCGTATGAATTAGACCAAACAGCACATTTAAAACATCTCCTTACGCCTGTATGCATTAGACCAAACACCACATTTCAAACATCTCCTGACGACTGTATAAATTAGACCAAACACCACATTTCAAACATCTCCTGACGACTGTATGAATTAGACTAAACACCACATTTAAAACATCTCCTGACGACTGTATAAATTAGACCAAACACCACATTTCAAACATCTCCTGACGACCGTGTCTCCTCCAACAGGTCCACAGTGGTGAGCGACCCTACAAGTGCGTCTACTGCAACAAGTCTTTCACCGCCTCCAGCATTCTGCGGACCCACATCCGGCAGCATTCAGGCGAGCGGCCCTTCAAGGTAAAAACATGACGTCATTTACAGGTTAGATGACCGGCTTAAGAAAAATCCCCAAATGGAGGAATATATTTTCTTTTTTTTTTTTACTTTTGTGTCGCCCAAAACAGAAGTTTCATCTCTGTGAGTGATAGATGGGCGTCTGTGTTGCATTTTGTATGTAACCATGACGTGTGACAAGGGGGTAGGAGCAAAAAAACAACAACATAATATTTAAAACACTTTTCACGTAATGTTGGCAATTATTTAGTATTATTACAGATGTTTTGTATATAGCAATATAAATGTCTCAATTTATCTATTTCTCCAACAATTTCAGATTTTATTTTCGAATAATAATATCGCTGTTTCCAAAAAAGAATGTTATCGGGGTCAGTTTACGCTGAACTGTAAAGTCAATTTTTGGGAAGCGGTCCCTTGTTAGATTTGGGAGAGGGGTGTATTTAATAATCGTCAAATAACCGTAATGTTATGTAAGTCCCTCTAACATCTTATTTTTCCTTTCCCAGTGTAAATTTTGTGGCAAGGCGTTCGCGTCCCATGCAGCCCACGACAGTCACGTGAGACGCACGCATGCGCGAGAAAAGCTAATATCCTGCGAGATTTGTGGGCTGGGTTTCCCCCACGAGTACGACCTACAGCGTCACTCTGTGTCACACATGGGTAAGTCCATTGTGGGTAAGGGGGGGGGGTTCAAGCTTGTGTAAAGTTACAAAATCATGTTTTCCATAAATAAACCTATATATCAAGTTGAGAAATACGTTTTGTATTCCTACTACCATTTTCCAAAAATTTAATTATCCAAAACTTATTGATTTTTCGGTAGTAGTAGAGCCAGAATTAGGATTAGAATTAGAGCTATGCTAGGAATAGGGTTAAGGGTAAAGCAAGCGTCGAATTTTGCAAGTTATATTAGTGAATAGTTTACTGCTAGTAATCTAGCACAGTGGCGTAGCGAGGTCGGGTGTCACCCGGTGCGGCACTTGATGGTGTCACCCCCCCCCCCCAGAGTCATAGAGACCCTTCTCACGGACAAACTTTCAAATTTTCGATTTGCACCCCCCCCCCCCCCCTCAAACTTTCGATTTGCACCCCCCTCAAGTTTTCGATTTGCACCCCCCCCCCTCAAACTTTCGATTTGCACCCCCCTCGAGTTTTTCTCTATATATTTTGCTATTTTTTGCCTTGGTGTCACCCCCGTAAATGGTGTCACCCGATGCGGTCCGCACCCCCCGCCCCCCCCCCCCCCTCGCTACGCCCCTGATCTAGCACCCCCTTTTTTAAGAAGATTCCATTATTGAAGCATAATTATCGGACAATGGTGTCACATATTTATCCTTTTTTGCTAATTAACACAGCTTTGATTTTTTATGTTAATAATTCATGACCATAATGAGATATTAACTGTTGAATGTTTATTCGAGCAGAAAGTTTCCTGAGCGGCTCCTATACTCCCGACAGCGGTCTTGGAAAAACCAGCCCGGAATGGGAGAGCTCTGGGATCGGATCCAAGAAAGGAGGGTGGGGCGAGACGCCTCTTTTATCCGGCATGACGACACCGCTAACTTAAGGGCTCTTCGCATCGTGAAAATTCTTACGCAACTGTCTTAAGGACTCTTCACACAGGGGACAAGTTTACGCAACTATCTTAATAGCTTTTAACACAGTTAACATGTTTACGCAACTATCTTAAGGGATCTTCACACAGTGAAAATGTTTATGCAAGTAATGCAACTATCTTAAGGGATCTTCACACAGTGAAAATGTTTAAGCAAGTAATGCAGCTATCTTAAGGGTGGTTCACACAGTGAATATGTTTACGCATAATCGTAAGGGCTCTTCACAATGTGAAAATGTTTACGCAAGTAATGCAGCTATCTTAAGGGTGGTTCACACAGTGCACATGTTAACACTAACAGAGTCCACGACCTGTATCCTACTTGACCAGAGTCATCCCAAGCACTGATGTCACTTCACTGTTTCACGACTCGCACATCCGCCGCGAGCTGTCCCGGGTTTCGGTCACATGATCAGGGTCTCATACTTTTTAAAGAAATTATTTCCTGCGACTATGCTGTTGCTGCAAGGCTAATCATGTGCTATTTTAAAGAGTCACGTGATATTACACATCTAACAAAAAGAAAGGTTCAACGTGTTAAATTACTTCAAGAAATGCTTTTAGCAAGAGCTAAACGACTGTGGCTTAAAAAGTTATATTTTAGTTCGAACTGTGAAGCACTGTGAAGGTTTTAGCTTTAGTTAGAAATATATATTACCAAGTTCGAACAATGAAACACTGGGTGGTTTGAGCAATAGCTAGCAAAAATACTTTATTTTAGTTCGATCGATGAAACACTTGTGTGTTTTACTAGAGAAATGTCATTGTTAAGATACCAAAAGGAACAGTCAAAAAGTTCCTAAAATAATATGTATTTTTGAAAATAATTTCAACATTATTTAATATGATTTATTAAACAATTTTGCAAGCAAATAAAAATTCTTAATTTAAAAAGTAAAATGCCTTTTTTTCCTCAACTGTTCTCTTTTCCAAAAACCGACGCCCAGCTAAAAAAAAACAAAAATCTGGACAGCCAGTCTGGCTAAAAATAAACAGATCACAGCGTGGATCCTGTCTGGGTCCCAGTGGGATCATTCCCGCCCCGGCCGTGTTTCGATCCCAACTTTATTGTCCGACGACCTTTAATCTACTGTAAGGGAAGAGCATGCATATTGTTCCCTAGGAGGTTTTTTAATTCCATTTCCTGTCTAGCCCCCCGAAAAAAAAAAACGAATAGATCCAGATTATGGTAAATTTTTTTCCTTAAACCCTAGAAAAAATGGATTATTCTACTGGAAAAGAAAGCCATCGAATCGTCTGCGGAGTTTATCAACATCTCGCGGGTGACAATTACCGCCCTTTCCCGTCGCCATGTTTGGCAACTCGTGTTTTAGTCCGACGCCCCGCGGCTGTTTACACGCGGGTCACGTCTCGCGCACGACGCTAGCCGCGTCACGCAGGTCACGTGACGGCGGGCGCGGGAAAATCTGTTTTAATGGCCGCTGCGAAACGAGGGGCCCAACTCTCAACGGTGGTTTCGTTTTCCGGATACGGTGAATAAAGTGTGAGCTGTTTAACCAGACGCCGGTCCCTGATCGGGTATGAGGGGACGGGGTAGCGCTGGGTCGAGCTTCGCCCGGGACTGATCAGTAGGCCGGACCACGCCCGGGGTAAAGATCCCGTCCCCCATTAGACGTTTGAGTAGAGATCAATTTCCCTGAGACAATCGATCGGAATCTGATGATCAGCGTCTATGGGGAAGTAGGAAGCCTAGCAAGAAAAGACAAAGTTGACCATTATCTATAGAGAACTAGGAAGTCAAGTAAAAAAAAATGTTGACCATTGTCTATAGAGAACTAGGAAGTCAAGTAAAAAAAAATGTTGACCATTGTCTATAGAGAACTAGGAAGTCAAGTAAAAAAATGTTGACCATTGTCTATAGAGAACTAGGAAGTCAAGTAAAAAAAAATGTTGACCATTGTCTATAGAGAACTAGGAAGCCAAGCAAGAAAAAAAAGTTGACCAATATCTATATAGAACTAGGAAGTCAAGTAAAAAAAGACAAAGTTGACTAATATCTATAGAGAACTAGGAAGTCAACTAAAAAATTTGACCAATATCTATAGAGAACTAGGAAGTCAACTAAAAAATTTGACCAATATCTATGGAGAACTAGGAAGTCAAGTAAAAAATGTTGACCAATATCTATATAGAACTAGGAAGTCAAGCTCGAATAAGTTGACTGGTACCTCGTGCGCCCCCCCCCCCCCCACCCGATAAAAATGTCTGAAAGAAACTAAGAATACGACATGCCACATCTGCTAAAAATTCTTCAACACTAAACCTAGGACGTTTCTACCCACTGGCTGACATTTTTAAAGTAGATACCCTTTCAAAACTGGCAGTTCATATTGCAGATGAAGTAGAGTTGATGTCCTACAAAATCAAGCCCAGTATCTAAACTCGAGACTTTCAGGTTACGACATAAAATCTACCGTTTGGTCATGCAGCGTCCCATTTTAATTCATTAAAGGTACAAAATTTCAGTTATCAAATTATTCTGAATAAGTAAAGAAGTAAACTCGAGCTTTTTATCAACTATACAATTACAAGCTAAAGTCAGAGTTCCCAAGTTGGTGTGCCTCCACCTGTACGAACTAACAGCAGTTTAATATCCACAAACACCACCTCAAAAGACAGACCTATCATGCTGTGTGTGAAAGACTAGCAAGAGAATCACAGGATCATTAACTAAATAGTCGTAGCTTGGTACCAAGTCTAAAACAGACTTTAAAGAAGTCTAGTTCTAACACCAAGATTTAAAACTTTAATCACAGGATGATTAAATAAACCTAGCTTGGTACCAAGTCTAAAACAGACTTAAAAGAAGTCTAGTACCAACACCAAGATTTAAAACTTCACCTGGTCAGGTCAAAATGCCACAAACTGTCTAGTAAACTGTAGCTTTCAGCTAGTAGTAGTACACAATACAACAGAAAATGTGCTTTAGGAATGTTTATTCTATTCATTTAAATTATCATCTCATTATATACAATTAAACATTATTGCACAAAAGCACACCACCACATTAACCAATTCTTTTAAAAAAAACATTTTTTGTTTACATTGTATCACTATAATTCATGCATCAAATGCTGGTATTGGTCATCTGATTTCAATAAATAGCCAATGAAATCACATCACAAAATATAACGAGTGTAGGTTTAGGTTTTAAAACGAAACCTACAATAATGGAACTAGTCAGTTGTAATCACCAGAATAAGAATTAAAAAAAAAAGACAACTGACCAAAGCAGTTCAGATAGGAGACAATCATCTGTATTACAGATCAGCTTTATGCCATTTGTATCACAATTAACACCCCAACCCCAGAACAAATTTTAACAGCCGTAGTGGAGTGAAAACTAAAGCCTCTTCTTGATAAGTTTTTCTAATTTCTTGATGCGGCTAGACTCTGGTTCAGGGAAAACTATAGCCTCTTCTTGATGAGTTTTTCTAATTTCTTGATGCGGCTAGACTCTGGTTCAGGGAAAACTACAGCCTCTTCTTGATGAGTTTTTCTAATTTCTTGATGCGGCTAGACTCTGGTTCAGGGAAAACTACAGCCTCTTCTTGATAAGTTTTTCTAATTTCTTGATGCGGCTAGACTCTGGTTAAGGGAAAACTAAAGCCTCTTCTTGATAAGTTTTTCTAATTTCTTGATGCGGCTGGACTCTGGTTCAGTAAAAACTAAAGCCTCTTCTTGATAAGTTTTTCTAATTTCTTGATGCGGCTGGACTCTGGTTCAGGGGCCGAGGTCTGGTGTGATGTGGAGGATGAGGTCAGGCCGCCTGGACTGGTGTTGGCCAGGATGGAGGAAACTGGCACCCGCGCTCTGTACATTTCTACCAGGGAACTCTGGTCACCACGTCTCACCCCCTGGAATGGTGACACAAACACCATACAGGTGATGTCAGGTGTGGAGGTGAAGTTAGTTGTTTTAAGTCATATGTAGGGTAAAGTCAGTTAAGTCAATAAGTCATGTGTATGAATAAGTCAGTTGTTTTAAGTCATGTATAGGCTGAAGTACATCAAGTCAATAAGTCATGTGTAGTTGAAGTCAGAAGCTTTAAGTCAATTAGTCATGTGAAGGGTGAAGTCAGTTAAGTCATGTGTATGTAAAGTCAGTTAAGCCAATAAGTCATGTGTAGGTTTAAGTCAGTAAAGTCATAAGTCATATGTCAGTGAAATCAAGCATGTTTTAGAACACAAGACAATTTACCTTCATTTCCAACACCCTTTGGAAGTCATTAATATCTGAGTCTGCCAACAAGCGGATAAAGTTATCCACAAATCCTTGTGGAGGATTTTGGGGTGACATTACAACCTACATTAAAATTTTACAAAAATTATTACTTCCAATAAAATTATTATTAATTAAATCAAACTATTTTAAATTTTATAGTTTTTTTTTTTGTTTTTTTTTTTAAAGTAAATGCAGTGTTGTGATAATTTAAAAAAAAAGTTAAGCTCAATGTTTTGATAGTAAAAAAATTAAGCTAAGTATTTTGATAATTTAAAACAATCTAGCTCAGTGTTTTGAAAATAAAAAAAAATTAAGCTGTGTTTTGATACTTTTAAAAAAAAAAAAAATTAAGCTCAGTGTTTTGATAATTTAATAAAATTAAACTCAGTGTTTTGATAATAAAAAAATTTTGGTCAGTGTTTTGATAAAAACAAAAAAAATTAAAAATTAAGTTCGGTGTTGTATAAAATAATGCGAGCTCACCTTAAGAATCATCTCAGCTTTTGTCATGCCTTTGACCACAATCTTTGTAAAACTGTAAGCACAAGGGTGGACATGATACAATATGATAGCCACATTAAACAAACCTGAACATAAACAAGCTGACTTAAGATAGTATCTATCACAACACTAACAAGGGACAGGGTGGTGAAATGGTACAGCGTTTGGCTGCTAGCCTGAAGGTCTTGAGGTAGGATCTTGGTTCAGATTCAGAATGGTAGACGTCTCTGAGTCCACCCAGCTTTGGCGGGTACCGGACTTACATTGGGGAATGTAATGGCTGGGCATAGTGCTGACCACAATATCCGTACATATGCTTAAGTTAAGAAACATGAACTCTACCTTTACACTAAGGGCAGACACATTTAAGTAGATAAAATAAATATTTCTAATAATTTTTATATTTTAAAAAGAGGATGTCGTTTAACTTCAAAACTTGTAGCTGTGTTAAAACTGAATGTGTCACATCCACCTTGACAGAAATATATCTTAGCCTGGTCTGATAATTACCAAGCCATAAGTGATTAGAGAAAACATTTCTTAGACTATATGAAGTCACAACCATATGACAAACACAATCTAGGGCTCATCATCTTCACAATTATCTGTTCTCAGTGTGCCTCTTCTTGTAATCAAACAAGGTGTATACCCTCCCATAAGTGTAGGTAGATAGAAATCAAACAAGGTGTATACACTCCCATGAGTGTAGGTAGATAGAGAACAAACAAGGTGTATACCCTCCCAAGAGTGGAGGTAGATAGAGAACAAACAAGGTGTATACCCTCCCATGAGTGCAGGTAGATAGAAAACAAACAAGGTGTATACCCTCTCATGAGTGCAGGTAGATAGAAAACAAAGTGTATACCCTCCCATGAGTGCAGGTAGATAGAAAACAAAGTGTATACCCTCCCATGAGTGCAAGTAGATAGAAAACAAAGTGTATACCCTCCCATGAGTGCAGGTAGATAGAAAACAAACAAGGTGTATACCCTCTCATGAGTGCAGGTAGATAGAGAACAAACAAGGTGTATACCCTCCCATGAGTGCAGGTAGATAGAAAACAAAGTGTATACCCTCCCATGAGTGCAGGTAGATAGAAAACAAAGTGTATACCCTCCCATGAGTGCAAGTAGATAGAAAACAAAGTGTATACCCTCCCATGAGTGCAGGTAGATAGAAAACAAACAAGGTGTATACCCTCTCATGAGTGCAGGTAGATAGAGAACAAACAAGGTGTATACCCTCCCATGAGTGCAGGTAGATAGAAAACAAAGTGTATACCCTCTCATGAGTGCAGGTAGATAGAAAACAAAGTGTATACCCTCCCATGAGTGCAAGTAGATAGAAAACAAAGTGTATACCCTCCCATGAGTGCAAGTAGATAGAAAACAAAGTGTATACCCTCCCATGAGTGCAGGTAGATAGAAAACACCTGTGACCTACCTGGCAGGAGCTTTACGCAGGACCTGAGATCCCAGGCCTGGTAGTTCCAGTAGAACAGTCTTCAGGCTGTGGGTGTCTAACAGCAGCTGTCAGAGGTCAAAGAACAACAATTGGTGTATGTATAACAGGCAACAATTGGTCTAGGTCTGATAATAGGTCCTTGTATAACACAACACTGGGTCTAGGTCTAACAACAATAGGTCCTTGTATAACACAACACTAGGTCTAGGTCTGATAATAGGTCCTTGTATAACACAACACTAGGTCTAGGTCTGATAATAGGTCCTTGTATAACACAACACTTGATCTGACAACAATAGGTCCTTGTCTAACACAACACTGGGTCTAGGTCTGATAACAATAGGTCCTTGTATAACACAACACTAGGTCTAGGTCTGATAATAGGTCCTTGTATAACAACACTAGGTCTAGGTCTGATAATAGGTCCTTGTATAACACAACACTAGGTCTAGGTCTGACAACAATAAGTCCTTGTCTAACACAACACTAGGTCTAGATCTGACAATAGGTCCTTGTATAACACAACACTAGGTCTAGGTCTGATAATAAGTCCTTGTATAACACAACACTAGGTCTAGGTCTGATAATAGGTCCTTGTATAACACAACACTAGGTCTAGGTCTGATAACAATAGGTCCTTGTATAACACAACTTTAGGTCTGACAACAATAGGTCCTTGTCTAACACAACACTAGGTCTAGGTCTGATAACAATAGGTCCTTGTATAACACAACTTTAGGTCTGACAACAATAGGTCCTTGTCTAACACAACACTAGGTCTAGGTCTGACAACAATAGGTCCTTGTCTAACAGATAACACTAGGTCTGATAGACAAAACTAGATCTAGGTCTAAATGGGCTACAATAGGTTCATGTCTTATTGACAACTTCACTTAATAACAAACACACACTGACAGCACTGTGGTTGTACCAAGTCCTGACTGACCTGTTCAGCTGCCACTGTGGTGGATGGTCTACACTTGTAGAGAGTAGCAATAAACTTGGGGATAAAAGAACTGAAACATCACAACATATACATCAGTCAGGATGGATGGATCTATACATTATCATCTATACATCATGATCTATGAAACACAATCTATACATAACGATCTATACATCATGAACAATATATCTAGATCTATATATCATAAGCTATAAATCACGATCAATGTCATAAACTATACATTATGATCTATGCTTTAAGATCTATATATCACAATCATGATCTGTATATCACAATCATGATCTGTATATCACAATCATGATCTGTACATCACAATCATGATCTGTATATCATAATCTATGGATCACAATATATACTTAATGATGTATACATTATGATCTACACATCTATTCTGTAATTTGTGAGAAAGTTCTGGAACAACTTACTTGGCAAACTTGACACAAAACTGTGTGAAATATTTCCTAGATGAGGCTAAATTGTCCCGTATAACTGGAATGTTCTGTTTGAGGTGTGAGGTGATTGCCGTCACATAGCCACTCTGGTCCCCTACAGCTTCAATGTTGGACCAGGGCATCTATACAAGAAACAACATACAACTGATATATGTGGTGACATGCATACATAAAATATGGCCATCACATAGCCACTCTGGTCCCCTACAGCTTCAATGTTGGACCAGGGCATCTATACAAGAAACAACATACAACTGATATATGTGGTGACATGCATACGTAAAATATGGCCATCACATAGCCACTCTGGTCCCCTACAGCTTCAATGTTGGACCACGGCATCTATACAAGAAACAACATACAACTGATATATGTGGTGACATGCATACATAAAATATGGCCATCACATAGCCACTCTGGTCCCCTACAGCTTCAATGTTGGACCACGGCATCTATACAAGAAACAACATACAACTGATATATGTGGTGACATGCATACATAGGTCACCTACAGCTTCAATGTTGGACCACGGGCATCTATACAAGAAACAACATACAACTGATATATGTGGTGACATGCATACATAAAATATGGCCGTCACATAGCCACTCTGGTCCCCTACAGCTTCAATGTTGGACCACGGCATCTATACAAGAAACAACATACAACTGATATATGTGGTGACATGCATACATAGGTCACCTACAGCTTCAATGTTGGACCACGGGCATCTATACAAGAAACAACATACAACTGATATATGTGGTGACATGCATACATAAAATATGGCCATCACATAGCCACTCTGGTCACCTACAGCTTCAATGTTGGACCACGGCATCTATACAAGAAACAACATACAACTGATATATGTGGTGACATGCATACATAAAATATGGCCGTCACATAGCCACTCTGGTCCCCTACAGCTTCAATGTTGGACCACGGCATCTATACAAGAAACAACATACAACTGATATATGTGGTGACATGCATACATAGGTCACCTACAGCTTCAATGTTGGACCACGGGCATCTATACAAGAAACAACATACAACTGATATATGTGGTGACATGCATACATAAAATATGGCCGTCACATAGCCACTCTGGTCCCCTACAGCTTCAATGTTGGACCACGGCATCTATACAAGAAACAACATACAACTGATATATGTGGTGACATGCATACATAGGTCACCTACAGCTTCAATGTTGGACCACGGGCATCTATACAAGAAACAACATACAACTGATATATGTGGTGACATGCATACATAAAATATGGCCGTCACATAGCCACTCTGGTCCCCTACAGCTTCAATGTTGGACCAGGGCATCTATACAAGAAACAACATACAACTGATATATGTGGTGACATGCATACATAAAATATGGCCGTCACATAGCCACTCTGGTCCCCTACAGCTTCAATGTTGGACCAGGGCATCTATACAAGAAACAACATACAACTGATATATGTGGTGACATGCATACATAAAATATGGCCATCACATAGCCACTCTGGTCACCTACAGCTTCAATGTTGGACCAGGGCATCTATACAAGAAACAACATACAACTGATATATGTGGTGACATGCATACATAAAATATGGCCGTCACATAGCCACTCTGGTCACCTACAGCTTCTATGTTGGACCAGGGCATCTATACAAGAAACAACATACAACTGATATATGTGGTGACATGCATACATAAAATATGGCCGTCACATAGCCACTCTGGTCCCCTACAGCTTCAATGTTGGACCAGGGCATCTATACAAGAAACAACATACAACTGATATATGTGGTGACATGCATACATAAAATATGGCCGTCACATAGCCACTCTGGTCACCTACAGCTTCAATGTTGGACCAGGGCATCTATACAAGAAACAACATACAACTGATATATGTGGTGACATGCATACATAAAATATGGCCATCACATAGCCACTCTGGTCACCTACAGCTTCAATGTTGGACCAGGGCATCTATACAAGAAACAACATACAACTGATATATGTGGTGACATGCATACATAAAATATGGCTGTCACATAGCCACTCTGGTCACCTACAGCTTCAATGTTGGACCAGGGCATCTATACAAGAAACAACATACAACTGATATATGTGGTGACATGCATACATAAAATATGGCTGTCACATAGCCACTCTGGTCACCTACAGCTTCAATGTTGGACCACGGCATCTATACAAGAAACAACATACAACTGATATATGTGGTGACATGCATACATAAAATGTCAGTCACATAGCCACTCTGGTCACCTACAGCTTCAATGTTGGACCACGGCATCTATACAAGAAACAACATACAACTGATATATGTGGTGACATGCATACATAAAATATGGCCATCACATAGCCACTCTGGTCACCTACAGCTTCAATGTTGGACCACGGCATCTATACAAGAAACAACATACAACTGATATATGTGGTGACATGCATACATAAAATATGGCCGTCACATAGCCACTCTGGTCCCCTACAGCTTCAATGTTGGACCACGGCATCTATACAAGAAACAACATACAACTGATATATGTGGTGACATGCATTCATATAAAACACTACATGGAGTTTTGAAAAAAAAATTATTACCAAAGAGGTCTCGAGTTCAAATCTGTGTTCAAGTCAGTAGAACATACCTAACTCACGTTAGGGTAAGTAAAAGTGGCTGGGCATAGTGCTGACCACATTATCCTTTTATTTGCTGAAGTCACAGAAACCAGTGAAATCTACTTCCCTTGCATAGACCATCGGGTTTGAAAGGGAACTTTACTAAAGAGGTTGTTGTGAAGATTTTAGTGGTGGCAAGTGGGGCCTTGAGTTTGTAGTGAGCGTGAATATTTTGTAGGCCTATCTGTTGACAGATCATTAGCCAATGGATAACATGGGTCATCTAGTGCTTTAAACAGTTGGAGGAAGTCAGTTAAAAACAAAGGTGTCCACATGTTGGTTGAGATCAAGCTGAGTACTAAAATCAAGCTAAGCAGTGAATTAGAATTAATTAGTGGTGTTACCTTGGTCATGGCGGTTAAAGCAGGTTCACATGCTGTCTCCAGGTCCTGCACTAGCAGTTGTATACAGTTGGAGATGACACTGAAACATGGCAGACATGACACACTGTTATGTGGGGCTCAGGGTTGGGTGCAGGGTGACACTTAAAACCTAATTACTTTACAAACGGCATTGTATAATTAAAACTATTACCTCCTATATAACACCTAAATTTGGTAGAAAGTTCTAAGATCAATGCCACTTGTGTGCCAATAAATGGTCATGCAGTTAAATGATTTCTTTCTTTAATAACAGCAGACTAATTTGTAATGCATTTCTCACCTACAAAACATGTGTCACAGTACTCACATATAAAACATGGGCCTCAATACTCTCATTTGAAACATCACAGTACTTACGTATGAAACATATCCTGTTCAGCATTAAGCGCCACTGAAGCCTTGAACTCAGCATCCACCTTCTCTCTCAGCTTCTCCTCCAGCTGTTGTGTGGTGTCCATGCAGTACTCAGCTGTACACAGTAGACTACAGATCCTGCACTGCTCCTCCTCGGTGAACTTGGTTACGTCCCCTTCCTTCAGTATACTCTGTATCAGCCCTGAGGCGGAACTGATGTTGACACTTTCCTTGCTGATCCTGACAGATACATACATACGTGTATTATAAGCTTCACTCTGACAGATACACAGATACATTTCCTATAAACTTAACTGTGACAGGTACACATGTACCTGTATTATAAGCTTCATTTCAACAAGTACACACATACATGTATTATAAAGTTTTAAGCTTAGAACACTATTCAAAGTATCATCAGTTATAATTTGCACTCCACAGGTCACTTCTTTACCCACAAGGTGTCACTCCACTGCACTACCTTACAGGTCAATTACTCCACTGCCCACCATAGGTCACTTACTCCTCTACATTCCATGGGTGACTTAACCACTATTTTCCACAAGTTACTCCACAACCCCTCTATGTGTCGCTGACTCTAGAACCTCCATGGGTCAATTATTCCACCACCATCCAGAGGTCACTCTACACTTACTTGGGCAGGTTTGCCAGCAGGACTCTATGAGCATACTCCTTCAGGTACTTCTGGAATGTCTTGGTGAGGTCAATCAGAGGCTGACCGGTGCTGAGCTGGGAGCACTGGACCATGCACTTCTTGTAGAAGACAAAGAGGTCAGCGCAGCTGGGTAGCACGTTGCTGTTCTCCTCCCCGTCCATCCGAGGTGTGCCGTGGGCCTGGATATCACTCTGGAACCGGTTGATCAACTCCGCCAGGTTTCTGGGAAACATTCATTCATATTTTTTATAAGTTACAGGTCAATTAATCTTTCAGAACATACATACAACAATCCATCTTTTAGAACATACATACAATAATCTTCTTAGAACTTTAACACAATTCATCTTTCAGAACTTTTAGACAACATTTCATCTGCTTATAACTTTTTACAAAATAATTCAAATATTGTAATTAATAAGAACAAGAAATTAATTTTAGATAGAACTAGAAGAAAAACTTGCCTGTCCTGATTCTCTATATAAATATTCAAATGGGCTTCAAAGCATTGTGAAACTATGCCAGCAAAGGGAGATACGCTTTCCTGTGAAGTTAAAAATATAATAATTGTTATCACACATTGGAATAATGAACCTTCAATGAATTAGTAAACAAGTGCAAGTATTTGCGCAGTGTGTTTTAAGACTAAGTCTGCTAGGTGCTGTCCTTGAAATAACATAATATATCTCAGGGGATAGATTCTGTGTTGAATTATTAAATGAAACCATGTATGGATGACCTTAGTTTTGCTGCGTGCTACACCCTAAAAGTGTCATACATTTCTGGAGCAAGTCTCATCCACTGATCACATGACAGGGCTGCTATGCTAGGTTTACCTTTACTTCAGGAGACTTCTCCACCTGCTCAAAGGGATTTGTTGATGGCTCTTCAAAGGGGTTGGTCGGTGCAGACTGTGTGCTGTTGATGGATACACTCTGGGCTGGTTTGGGCTGGTAGCAGGTAAGGGAAATAAGCATTGGGATGACAAGGGGAGATAAAATCTTAGATAAATGCTGATTAGATAGTAGAAATTTAATAGCATAATTCAACAAATTAAATTGAATTGTTTTTTTTTAATTTTCTTTTGTAAAAATAAACTGTAACATAATTATACATAATTTATATTATAAAAGTATTTGTTAGTTTTTAGTTTTGAAATAAAAATTGTCTTATTAAAACAACTGAGACAAAGTTACGTTTGCACTTTCAATCTATTGGAAAGAAAACAACTATACTAATTTAATGTTGATGTCTTGTAAGAGATTTTGTTGCTAAAATAATTTTAACATGAAAAATCAATTGTTCAAAATAGTTTAAAATTTAATATTAGGCTATTGCAGGGGTCAGCAACCTTTTTAGACTGAAGTGCCAAAAGTTACAATTTACAAAATTTCCCAGCTTTCAAAGAGCCACTAACATTTAAGTTTTAATATTATAATCTTTGATTAGGATTAGGTGTATATATATATATATATATATATATTTGTGTGTTTCTGATTGTCTTTTACTTATTACTACATCTTTTATCCGATCGCCATGAAAGTTTAGTAAGTTGTTGAGAATACTCCTGGGGAGGTATCTGTGCAAAATATAAGTCAAATTCGCACATTCCAGGGGAGGTTTCTCCAAAAAAATGTTTTTTTAATTTGGGAATGGCGGCGCCCCTGGAGGGTACGGTATATAAAACAATAAAAGTCGGATGCGGTTCGACACCTTTAATTCAAGTGCCATGAAACTTTGGAGAGTAAATAAGAATACTCCCGAGATTATTTCTGCAAAAAAAAAATTTATGGGTAGCACCCAGTAGGGTGCGATTTTCGTCAATACACGGTTTGGCGCCCAGAGTTCCAGAGCGGGTATTTTAGCACTTGACATCCTTTAATCGGGCTTCCTACATAGGGTACTAATATATTCAGCGGCAAAACTGCAATAGGCGCAGCCGCCGACACCTCGTCGATTGCGCGAACCGAATAGCCGCGTGCTCAGCTGCGAGAAATGTGGCGCCTATGTTCGTTTAAAAAACTAAGGACACGATGGTCAACAATAATCGTTGACTTAATCGCATAGAGGGCGATTTGGCACCCCGGGCTTACCCGTTAGCACCATGTTGCCTACATTCATTTTTGATACAATGGGTTGCTATTGTCGCTCACTAAATTGAATCAGGTGCGTCATCAGGGGTCTCTGCCGGGTGCAATTTGGCACCCAATGCTATCTCCCGAGCTCTATTCGCTTACGTTAGTTTTAAGGAGCACCATACAATATTGACAATGCGGCACACGACATTCGATGATTAAGCCGAGCTACGGTCTGTACGTTGTGCCTCTGCGATAGTGTAAACAGGAGCTCACGAGAGCGCCACTTTTCATCCCTGACATTTAGGTGATGAGTGATTAACGGTGATATTATGGGGAGTGATTAACGTATACTCAAGGCTTTCATACAACATGCCCTTTGGCATGCTGGGCGGTACTGTAGGTAAATCCGTGCCCCAATAAATATGATCCAAGCACAGGCATTGTTTATATTTAAATAACTCAGTTTTAGAAAACAAGGAAGCACATTGAAAATGGAGAAACTAAATATTCCAATAGAATAGCGAGTGTTTATTGTTTATATTTATTATTATATCGTTCAATACCGAGTGTTGCAGACTAATATTCTGATGAGTTTATAAATAAAATAATTATCAATACTTATGCATGGAGCTGAAGAGCCCCACCTTGACATCAAAAAAGCTGCATGCGGCTCGCGAGCCGCAGGTTGCCGACCCCTGGGCTATTGCATAACATTAAAAATCACAAAATGAGTTTGATAATAAGGTTTAAATTCAAAGAAAATATATAATTTCATGTTTTTATAACAGAAGAGTTTGTAGGTGGTGTAAGTATGTAGTGGGTCTTTTTTGAAATAGTGCAATAACACTAATATTTTTTAAATTTTGACTTTACATCAGAGTCCAACTTTCATTTTAAAAGCTTAGACATCCAAGCTAATGAAGAATCTAATTTATTAGCTTATTCATAAAAATAAAAACTACAAAAATTACTTATTCATGAAAACTGTATAACCTCAAAATCAACTAAAATCTTTAGTTTAAAAAAAAAAAAATCTTACAATGAATTGCAGTATATTTAGTAAGAATGAATAGCTTAAAAGTGTCATTTGAATGCTAATATGATAAAAACACAATTGGTAATGGTGGCAGCATCATGTTACATTCTGTCACGTTGGTAGCAATGGGGGTATGTCACGTCACATTAGTAGCAAAGGAGAAGCAACCACTTTACACGATAGATTTCAATAGTCCATCATTCCCTTGTCAATGGTCCATCACTCTCCTTTTCAAGGGAGTCCCCCTTCCCTCAACCATGATACAATTTAATATTACAATACTTAATTTTGAATGAGCCATGGAAATCAGAACTAATGTGACTTAGGTTAAAAAAAATAAATTGTGATCCAGTTGTGTCACCTTAACCATCGTAAATTGAAAAATGCAGCAAAATAAAGGACAAAGTAACATACCATTACTATATACATTTCCACCCTACCCAATGTTAATCCCCCACTCCATGTAATAAAATATGTATCTATATATATAATTCTCTACGTGGGGACTATGCAAGACACAACCAAGACGTAAACTCAACAGACCATATCGCTACCACCTCCACCTGTCTGGTGAGCTGTTTACAATCGTAGTGACGGCTATTAGGGGAGGATAATTTAGATTTTAAACTATTTGAAATTAAGGGGAGGTAATAACATGTAGTGCTTGCTCTTTTCAATTACGTCTGTAAACTATCGTCACAGACGACTGCTTTCACTGAGAGGGGGGGGGGAGGAGTGGAAAGTGAGGATGAGGATAATCGTCCTTCACGAGCAACTGATAGTGTTTTAAAGCAAATTATTTTCAGACATAGCATTGGTAGAGTCAAATTCAAACATTATGAACTACTAAAAATAGGAATTAAACTAAATAGCGGCATATGGTACGTCGCGGGTCAGCTCGTAAAATAAACATGAGATACAGTAAAAGAAACAATACTGCAGATCAAGCAGTGATAGTGGACTTGATTAATAGCAAGAACTGTGGGTACCTGGTTCTTCTGCATGGTGATTCCAGTAAACCTCTTGGCTATGAGAGCCTCAAAGTTGCTGGTCCTCTGTATGGCAAACAGCAGCAGCTTGACATCTATTTCAACACGACGTCGCTGCATCACCTTGGACAGCTCTTTACTGTCAGAGTGGAAAGTTTGTAGAACTAAGCAACATTTCATTTTAGCACAGAAACTTTGTAGAACTAAGCAACATTGAATATCAGCATGGATTTAAGATTTAAAGCAAGAAATAATCTTTGAAATTTTTTTTTAAAGAAAAAAACAACAATCCTAGCAAAGAAATATGAAATAATGAGGGAAAAGTTTCTTAATAAAAAAAAGACAACATGTAAACAGTATTTATGTATTTACATTTTGATATAATTGAATTGTCTATTGTAAAGAAGGCGATTCAACATGTCTATCAACATACCGAGTAATGTTACAACTCAATATGTCTACCAACATACCGTGTAATGTGACAAAACTCGACACAAATTCTCTCACTGACTTCCCAATCAGGAGGAAACAGGTGACCAAATTTCTCTTCAAAGTCCACCAGCGCCCGTTTGATCCAAGCATATCTCCTGTCTATTTTATCTAGCCAGGCTTCCTGCAGGAAACATGGGGTTCAACATGTAACATCTGGTTGTCATGGGGACATTTCTTATCATCACAAGCAATACCACCTTAGCACAGGACAGCTATCAAAGTAACACCTACTTATATTACAGAATACTTTTAAAGGTATATGATTATCACAGTCAAAACCCCCATCTATCACAAGCAACACTGCCTTAGAAATCTGACTATCAAAAACAAAATCTTATTGCCACAATTTACAACTGGCTAACAATAAATGCAGAGACCTGGATAAAGACACCACGAAGATTGGATACACCTGGGGACAGTTGGAGAGACTAGCCCAGGACAGAGACGTCTGGAAAGCTCTTGTCAGTGGCCTATGTCCCAGGAGGGACGGCAGGAAAACCTAACCTAACAATAAATGACACCAGCAGTCCCAGTGTACTTACATCCTGGTCCTCTGCAAACAGAACCACGTACTCAGAGAGCTGAAGCTTGACAAACCAGTTGAGCAAATCTCTCTTCACTTTTGGGTCCAGGATGTTGACCACAAAACAGGCGTCACGCAACTGCTTCTGATTGCCTGGCCCATACTGTGGAGACAAAAGAGGAGTCTAGTATATTCAAGATTTTTTTTTTTGGTTAGACTTATGATTTCAGACATGTTGTTTTAATGTTCAATATAAACTTGTGTTTCGGTTAGTGATAGCTAACTTACCTTAGCTCCAGAACCTTGAAAGGCTTCTTCAAAGTCTGATATGATTTGATTTCCTAATTCTGATTGGATCTGTTTCACTCTGGAAAAAATAAACATGTAAGTTACCACAGAGAGGAATGAAAGAAACAATAGCCTTTAAATCTACGATTTATACAAGTTACATGCTTCCAAATAAAACAGTAGTATAATAAAGTATCCTTCTTAAATCGAGCATTTATAGAATGTTAATGTGTGACTAGATGTACACTGTAGCATAATAAAAGATATTTCCGCGAAAAAGAGGAAAAAAAAATTAAGTTTATTAGACAGTTTGTATTTGCATAATTTTCCAATTGGGCTTTTTTTCTAGGAACCAAACCCATCAGCTGTAATAATTCATGCTGTGTTCCCCTAGTTCAAGACTCAGCCCCTACACCAGGAAGGGAAAACAACTCTCACCTATCTGCTAACTGCTTGATTTGTGGGATCTCCATATACTTCTCAAAGTGATCCAGGACATTCAGTACACCCTGTAGCAGATTTGCTACTTGGCCATATTGCCTGACGTGAGTCAAAGATCTACACAGAGGACAAAAACAAATTGAAACCATATTTTCCTTCACTAGAGGCAATTTGTATTGTTTTCTATTACAAAAAAACAAAATCAGGTAATGACTTAATTAAACAGAAGCAAAATTCTATTGTTTTAAAATACAAAAAAAAAACAACCCATCAGGTAATAAGTTTATTAAACAGCTTACGTGAGAGAGTCCACACCCCCAACTAACATATGTAGATGGTTGAGAGTGGTGATGGAGGCAGTGAGGTGTCTCTTGGCATGGTCCAGCTGTTTAATGTCTCTTGTAATTTCTTTAACCTGAGCAATAACATCATTGTCGAAATTAACTAAACTCAACAAATGAGGTATAATGCATAATATGTGGCCAATGCATGACAAGTCCAAGGATTACTAACTTGCAAACATAAATTACTCCAAACAATGTATAGCTAGTGTAGGGATATCATTTAGATGAATACTTATCATCTACTTGCAAACATAAATTACTCAGTAAAACAATGTATAGCTAGTGTAGGGAAATCATTTAGATGAGTACTTACCATCTACTTATAAACATAAATTACTCAGTAAAACAATGTATAGCTAGTGTAGTGAAATCATTTAGATGAATACTTACCATCTACTTGCAAACATAAATTACTCAATAAAACAATGTATAGCTAGTGTAGTGAAATCATTTAGATGAATACTTACCATCTACTTGGAAACATAAATTACTCAGTAAAACAATGTATAGCTAGTGTAGTGAAATCATTTAGACAAATACTTACCATCTGCTTGCAAACATAAATCACTCAATAAAACTAAGTAAAGCTAGAGTAGGGGAATCAATTAAATGAAAACTTACCATCTGCTCCGATTTGTCAGCCTTGTCCTTGATATCTTTTATCTTACTGAATAAATCCTGGATAGCGCGCTGGGCTTCTTCCAAAGCTTGACGACCCTCTTCCCCCACATTTGTCTGGCCACGAACAACATTACGGATTTCATCATCTAGCCTCCTGAACATTAAAAAAGTAATTTCCTTTAGAGAATAACATAGAATATGTCAAGTCTTTCACTTGCCTGTTTAAAAACGTTACAGGTTGTGAAAATCATGAAGGTAGAATTTTTTTTTTTTTAAGATAACGCCATAAAACCAACCAAATTTTGTGTCGAATCTTGCCAACTACTTCGTCAATATTTGAAAGAGACTGTTCAGTAGGAAACAAGGTGTTGATGTAATCAACAGGGTTAAAATCTGGTCTGTCTAATGGATCGTTACTGGGCAGAACCTGTGATTGGAAGACAGAGCACATATCTTAAGTATCCACATAATTTTCCTATACTGCTTAATTTAATAGCATATAGTAGGCTTTTCGTTTCGTGAAGTCTCGTTCTCGCGGTTTTGAAGCACCCGTGTTTTGGGCGGACATGTAAAATATCGAATCTTTTCTTTCTCATGAAGTACATTATAGTTAAAAATAAGGATTGTATCGTAATCGGAAAGATTTGTACTCGAAACTGCCCATGTATTTACAGGGCGAATAATTAACATTTTAATAATGCTAGCTTGACCTAATTTCTTCCTTTGTCTTTCACGAGGCCGTCGAGAGAAAGTCACGCGTATTTAGCTTGTGTTTCAAGTCGAATTAACTAAAGCAGGTGCGTTACCCAATAACTTTTTTATTAGACCCAATTTTTATAACATCTTTACTATCAAATAAAACTAGATTTGTTTAATGAAATTAGGCTGAAAACAATACATTTGCGCCTGCAAGTGGCCAACCCTCTTTTTTTTTAAGACGCCATTTTTTATGAATTTATAATAATCTAATTGCCGATTCCGGAAAAGGTAAAGGGGTGGGGTGGGCTCTGACGAATTGTTAGCATAAAAAAACACTTCACTTGAGAAAAAACTTTTTTCGCGCTTACAATATGAAATAAAGTGTTGATAATTTAGCCCCGGAGAGGCGGATAGGCTTTATTTACTTATTCAAAAACTGTATTGTTATGATAAGATAATAGATATCAATAGAGTTTTGTTTAATGTTAGTAATCGCGTGTGGTGACTCGTGTGTTCTGTACTTTGGTTGGGTAGCAGATGCCGATGACCGCTTACAATTACATCAATACCTTTTTTTTAAAATAGACTAGTCATCAATTAATTACATACCACCTCAAACAGTTATTATATTATTTTATTAGTACTTGTGGAGTGATCCATACCTTATTATTAATAACTTTTTAGGGGCCTAATAAGGCAATGTTTCAGGTTTCTGAATTAGTGATTTTTTTTTTTGGGGGGGGGGGGGGGGTGGGGGGGATGAACTTCAATGTTAGATTTTTTGGGTGGTGGTTTTGTGACATTTTTGGTGGTTGGTGAGTATAATTAGGCTAAAATAGCAGGTTGTCTTTTATAGATAATATTCATTATTATTAAATTTTGTCAATCTTTTTTTTTCTCAGAATGTCGGATCTTGCAAGTACTTCTTCTGGTTCAGCAGAAGTAACCAACATGGAAACTGAATGTTCAGGTGAGCCTGTACATACTCGTAATGATTTGAAAAACTTGGTCAATACGTACAATAATATTCACCAGGCTGTTGAAATTAAACTTGGGCATGTCATTTATCTTTGGATGAAAAATACAAAAAAAATTGTTCCAACTGTAAAAATACTTGAAGAAATTTTTAAAGAAAGACAACCTGAGAGTTTCAGCCATAACACTAAACAACTCTACAATAGTGTGCAACGTCCATGTGACTCGTTTAAAAAATTTACAGTAACAAGGCACTGGTCTCAAATTGTTCAATTTCTTGAAACACCATTTAAATTGCCACAAATTAGACCTAAACCGGTTGTGGTCCAAGAAGAAGTTCAAGTGATGCAGCCAGAGCAAGAAGTTGTAGTTGAAGAAGGAACTAAGAAATTAAAAACTGATTGTTCAAAGTGTGCTCTAAAAAGAAAGTCTACAACTATTTTGGTCAAGACAAATAAAAAGTTAAAAATGCAAGTCAAGGAATTTAAAATGGAACTAGAAACCAACAAAGTTTATAAAATTAAACACTTGAATCAAAAAATAAAAAGACTAACTGCACAACTAGAACAACAGAAACAGATAAATGCCCAATTAAAAACAGCCCACAAAAAGCCTACAGCCAAAAAGTCCCCACCCAAATGGTCCCCACCCAAATGGTCCCCCCCCCCAAAGGTCCCCTACACAAAAGTCCCCTTCTAAAACCTCACCATCCAAGTCCTCACCTTCCAAAGTTTTAAAGCCAGCTGTGGTTAATATAGAAAAACAAAGGAAATTAAAAATCAAAAGCTTAAACCAGGCTAAAAGAAGATACATCAGGATGATAAATTATTTAAAACAGGAATTAAATGAAAAGGATAGCATTATTTCACAGTTGAAGAAAACTGTTAAACAGACCAATGAAATGTACGACTATTTGTTAGCTGAACTCGAGGAGAGTAAGGCAGAAAGACCAGAAAAAAAAATATTGAAAGAGGGAAAGACATACAGTACAGAGACACGGTTATGTATGTATAGAGCCCTAATTAACAATGTTTCTGTAGGTGCTGCTGGTCAGCTGCTAAAGTTTTTCCTGGAGCAGGAAGCTGGATTTGTAATTGACTGTGTGCCTCAGCAATCTACAGTGGCTCAAATGGCCTATGAGATAGGCATTTTGGCTGACCTGCAGGTTGCTGAGACACTGGCATCTCATGACAGCATAACGTTGTCGTGGGATGCCACTTCCATTGACGGAAGTCATATTAATGAAGTCCATATTTCTGCTCCAGGAAAAACTTTAGCTCTTGATGTGAGACCTTTACCAGGTGGCAAGGCCGTGGACTATGTTGAACACATCAGTGTTGAACTTAGGAATGCAGTTAATATTTATTGCAGGTTTCATAATGTTGAGAATATGGAGGAGAAGTACTTCTCACTGATATGCTCAATAAAGTCCACACTAACAGATAGGGCGCCTGTCAACCATAGTGCTGTCACTCAGCTCAGCACTTTGTTTGACACGCACCTTCTGGAATTAAACTGTAATGTTCATGTCCTGGACGGATTAGCTACGGGTGCTAAAAAAGCGCTGGAGGTTGATATGGGCCATAAGACATTAAACTGTATTTTAAGCATATCAAAGCTTAGGTACAAACAAAGCAGTGGGGACCCATGTGGGTTCAAGGCCTTTTGTAGAGATAAAGGAATTATAGTAGGAGAGTTTGTCCGGTATGTGGGTAACCGGATGCATGTCCTGTTCCATTCAGCAGGCATCATCATTTTTCATCTGGATGCCCTCAAAGAGTTTGTAAACTCAGAAAAACCATCCAGTTTAAAAGTAACTATAGGTGAGCAGCTAAATGACCCTAGGGTAATAGCTCAACTCACTGCTCTTGGGCTTATTGGAAAATCCATAACTGGGCCATGGATGACTAAGTTTTATTCAGATACCAAGAATTTGGCCATGGTTCCAGTGATTCAAAAGGCAGAAAAAGTTATGGAGAGATTTTCCAATGACCCAGAAGAGCTAGTCAGACCCACTGTGAATGTCTTCGATGAGCTCCTTAGTGCTGACAAGGATTTGGTGTTGTCAGCACTCATCAAAATTGGTGAAACCCACAGGGGTGAAGTAAAGAAAGCTCTGACAAATATCTTGAAGGAGATCTCAATCATATTTAACCGCCAGTTAGCTAGATACACCCATGGTGATCTGTCTGACCCCACCCCCCAGCAGTTGGCACAAGCTTCAACTGCTTCATCGCATAACATGGCATCTGAGCGGATCTTGGGCATGACGGACTACTTGTTGCGACGTGCCCCCCATGCGACTAGTGGTTTTATAGATGGTAAGATTAGAGGGAGGGTTAATGACACAGTAGGGTGGCTTTTAAGACTTGACGGAGAGGAGAGACAGAAGCTAGTTAAGTTTGCTATTGGTGAGGGGAGTAGGGCGAGGAAACTGGCAGTTGAGAGGAAGAAGTTGACAGAACAGGAGATAAGTCGGAGGCTTAAAGATGGTAAGCAGAAGAGAGACAAATCCAAACGTAAGTCTTTGGAGGCTGCGGTTGGATCTGCTCTTAATGCTAAACATCTGAGGGCTGATGTCTTTTCTGCTGCTTCTGCTGTGGTTATGGATTTAGTATCTAAATCTATAGCTACAGACGACCCTGTCTCTCAGCTGTCGGAATCCTTTGTAGGCAGCTTAGTTAGTCATTTATGGGTAGAGGGGAGGGAGGGGGAGGAGAAGGAGATAATGTATTTTGGTAGGTTTGTAGAATTTAGGCAGTTGAAGGCAGGTATTATGTGTACGTTAGCTTATTGGGGGCTCGATGACGTAGAAACAGCTAGTGAAGACTATGACTTGACAATGAAATCTGTAGTAACGGACTTACTGCTAGGGGATATGACGTTTGTTAGTTAGGTTGACTGTCCCCAAGAACTGCCTAGGTGTCCATGTTATACTTGGCCACCCCTGATAAAGTCTCACTATTGTATATACTTCTTTACTTTGTTTCTCTTTTTTATGTAATATAATTTTTTTAATATTTCATGTCCTATACTTAAGGTGTACATACATTTTTACTTAGTTTTTTTGTTGCATGTGTTTATTTTTACACAGTTATGTGTTTATCGATTTTGTAAAAATGACAGTTGTGTTGCAATACCAAACATTGATTTAAACAATTAAAAATTTAAGTCAGTTTGCCTTTCAATATAATACTCACCACTGACATATTACATTGTCAGAGGTAAGTTGTGTGGCTAAAGTTTACAGTAGCTGACTGCAAAATGTTAATCTGTTTTATACTACATCATGTTTATTCTGAATATCATTGTCAGTTTGCCATTCAATATAATACTCACCACTGACATATTACATTGTCAGAGGTAAGTTGTGTGGCTAAAGTGTACAGTAGCTGACTGCAAAATGTTAATCTGTTTTATACTACATCATGTTTATTCTGAATATCATTGTCAGTTTGCCATTCAATATAATACTCACCACTGACATATTACATTGTCAGAGGTAAGTTGTGTGGCTAAAGTGTACAGTAGCTGACTGCAAAATGTTAATCTGTTTTATACTACATCATGTTTATTCTGAATATCATTGTCAGTTTGCCATTCAATATAATACTCACCACTGACATATTACATTGTCAGAGGTAAGTTGTGTGGCTAAAGTTTACAGTAGCTGACTGCAAAATGTTAATCTGTTTTATACTACATCATGTTTATTCTGAACATCATTGTCAGTTTGCCTTTCAATATAATACTCACCACTGACATATTACATTGTCAGAGGTAAGTTGTCTGGCTAAAACCATCAAGAGTTTTTAAAAATTTGAACTGAAATGAATGTTAGGTATTGCAATACGCCACAGTGAATCTGAACACTGAAGACAATTTAATGTCAACCTTACTGTTTGAAAAACACAAAACTGCTGGTTTATGTATATATTTTTAATTTTGACTTTTCCAACTTAAATGACATGTACATTAATTACAATTTTTATTGTCTTGAATGTGTAAATATGTACATAAAACATTGGATTTTTTAAGAATTTACTTGTTACTTGTCCTCTGTTTTGCGTTGTACAGAAATGCTGGTTCATCAACTTCATTGACATGTATATTGATTACAATTTTATTGTCTTATATTTGTAAATATGTACAGAAACATTGCATTTTAAAATAATTTACTTGTAACTTGATGTCTGTGTGTATTGTGTCATACAGAAATGCTGGTTCATATAACTGATTTAAAACTTTTTCAACTTCATTGACATGTACATTAAACATGTTTTATTGTCTTGTTTGTGTAAATATGTACATACATTATACATAGGCCTATTTGATAATTGTAAACTTATACTTGTTTGTTATTGTGTCTATTGTGTTGTGTAACTCCGCCATTGCCTGGTCCCCAGTCCAGGATGAAAAAGGAGGAGGGGACATTCACAATTTTTGGTGTTTCCAATATCTGCCAACCCTATTCATTAATATTTTTTTTTAAAGTTATTAATCAATCTTGGTTACTTTTAGCTATCTACATTCATTTCTAAGCTATTTTAATATGCTTCTGTTAAGTTTCATTGAAAAATGTTGAAAAATAATCCAGATATCCACTCATGAAATCAGGTCACAGGACTAGGAGTTTTTTCTTCATTAGCTATGCCACACAGACCCATGACTTTGGAATTTTTTTTCAGTCATAATGACTTTGCACAGAAAGTTTAAATATGCTAAATTGACTTAGTTTACCATTGTCCTAGCTATTGCTGATACTTTTTTAAAAAAAAAAAAATTGTTTAATTTTTCACCAAAATGCCTACATATAGCGATTAGTTTAGAATTACCTAAGGAGAGTAAGAGAATAGAACTAATAATCTTTTTTTTTTTGGTTCCATGACCAGCAGACTGTAAATAGTAAATAGATTCTAGGTCTATTTTAGTATTTGAAGTTAGGTCTAGAGTTCTAGATCTAGAATCTAGTGTGGTAAGAAGTTATAGATCTAGATCTAGTACTAACTACTAGATCTAGATCTAGATCTAGTAACTAGTACACAGATCTATGTTACTATTACTAGTTTAGTGATTACTAGATCTAGATCTAGTAGGTAGGGATCTAGATCTAGATCTACGTACGTCGTAGCGTAGGCCTACTCTACTCTTCTACACTGAACTCGGATAGGACTCTGTTTGGTTAGGCCGTTCGAATTCACAGCTTCCGGGTTTGTTGTTTTGAAGCCATCTCACGGCTCATGCGCTTACCAAAAATGGCGACCAGTTTCGCTTTCACTAATGGGTAGAGCGATAAAACTAATGATTACGAAGCCATCGTTAATTTAAGAAATCGGAACTATCCGTTTCTATTTAAGTCTGTTAGTTAAGAATTGTCGGATCTACTTTTGGCCTAATTTCTATGTTTGTCTCGCAAGCGGCGCCTTAGTGAAAGTAGCTCTATATAATTCTTATCTTTCGAATCAAATAACTATAAAATACCGCAGGTATTTTTAACCAGACTATTGCTATTTTTTACTTGAAAGCATTAATTTTACACACGTTACAATAAACTGGTAATAATTTATTGTAGGCATGAGATATGCTCTGTAAGAATAATAATGCCATTTTATTATAATCTTTTTTGGTGAACACGAAGCGCGGGAAAATGTGTGACGCGCAAGAATCCAATCATTCGGCTAGATTTATGACTGTTTTTTATGTCACACCTAAAAATAGAATGTTTACGCTTTCTTCATTGATGATCGTTTTCATTATTTTTTTAAACTGAAAGTATGAATTATTAGTTAGATTTCAGGTTTTGTAACTTGGTATACTTACCCTTTATCAAAATTAAAAGCATAGCATGCTGATTGTGAACAAATATAGTCATAAAACACAATTATAAAGTTACAAACAATGCGATGTCGGGATGTGCCACACCCCCTCAAGAAAACACGTGTTTATTAAGCTGTTTATCTCACTTTACAACAGTAATTAAAATTAATTTTCAAATTTTTATCACTTATTGGGTAAGATTTAGCACATATTTACTAAAAATGAAAAAAAAAACAAAAGCAAATTCTGTTTTAATGAAGGTCACGGGTCAAGTTTTTTTTTCCTTCTGTCATGTTCAGTGGAGGGTGCCACAGGCTGACCTGACTTTGGATTTTTTTTCAGTAATAATGACTTTGCACAGAAAGTTAAAATATGCTAAATTGGCTTAGTTTACTAGTGTGCAAGCTATTATTGATACATTTTTAATAAAAAAATCATTCTGTAATTCTCATCAAAAAGCCTAGTTTGGTTTATTTAATAATTAATTAGGCCTACTTAATTTTTTTTTTATTATCTAGATCTAGAGATCTAGATTTAGATCTAGAATCTAGATCTAAAGATTTGTCGATGCAACACTGAAAAACAGAAAAATGACCAATCACCTGTTCAATAGCTTCTTGCACTTCAGCGGGAAAAGATAACAGCGACTGCAACTGATCGTCAACAAAATCCTCATCTTCGACGAAAGCCATTTTGCTTTTACGCAGGTCAGATTTTTGTCAAGGAAGCTTTCAAAATGCAGTCTAAAAAAGCCTGCAAATAGTTCTAGAATCTAATGTTCGTTGGCTTAGGTATTTTCTTTAATTTTCAAAAGAAAATGAAAAAAAAAAATTACTTTAATGCTCATACGGATCTGTATGAGACAGAAACTGTTTAGTAATTTTCTGATTATTATAATAAACAGAAAATTATGTCAAAAAGAAAGAATGCCCTATTTTAATTTTAAAAAATTGTGTATGCTAATGCTGCCCGTAGACTCATTATGTCCATTTTCGTTGTAGTTGTTTTAATATTTAACAACATTATTCTTTGGGGGGGGGGGGGGGGGGGTCATCGATGAACAGGCATGGTAAAACCTCGGAAGAGAAAAAAAATTGTGTTATTTTTTTAATATAATTTTTCCACACTTGAACAACTAAGAAAATCAAAAAAAAAAAAATCAAAAGATGCTTTTACTAACTAACTACAATTAGGGGTCATCCATAAATGACGTCACGCTTTTTGTGAGGATTTTTACTTCCCCCCTCCCTCCGTCACACATCGTCACAAAAAGCAAGACCCCCACCCCTAAAATGACGTCACACCTCAGCCTACAACCCCATCAAAATTGCAGTTGAATTTTTCTCAAAACATCGACGATATTTTTTTTCCAAAATCGTGTCTGAACTCTGTCAAAATAGAGTATTTTAATCAATTCCTATTTGAATTTATTAAAACAGTTTTCTAAAACGCGAAATAACGTCTAAAATTCATTTTCTAACAATGCTTTTTTATAATGCAAAAGTGTGACGTCGCACCATCTAAACCCCCCCCCCCCTCCCCCTCATTACACACCGTCACAACTTTACGGACCCCCTACCCCCCTACGAGTGTGACGTCATTTATGGACGACCCCTAATACTATTATGTAATGAGGAACGTTCCAGTTAAAATAGGGTGTATTTTTCTGAAATTAATATAATTATTAATTGTGTGTGTATGCGTGAGAGTTTGTGATGAGTTCTTTACTTTTGCGATTAAGGGGTCGTCCATAAATGACGTCACACTCGTAGGGGGGAGGGGGGGTCCGTAATTTTGTGACGATGTGTGATGAGGGGGAGGGGGGGGGGGTCAGATGTTGCGACGTCACATTTTTGCATTATAAAAAAGCAATGTTAGAAAACGAATTTTAGACGTTATTTCGCGTTTTAGATAACTGTTTTAATAAATTGTAATAGTTTAGACAAGATTTTGGAAAAATATCAATGTTTTAAAAAAATTCAACTGCAATTTTGAGGGGGGTTGTAGGTTGAGGTGTGACGTCATTTTAGGGGGGGTCTGGCTTTTTGTGACGAAGTGTGACGGAGGGGAGGGGGGGGAGGTAAAAATCGTCAAAAAAAGCGTGACGTCATTTATGGATGACCCCTAAGTTTGAACGGTGATAAAAAAAAAAACAGGTACGTTGCAATTTTTTTTAAACAGACAATTGCTGCACACTATTTTACTTAATTTTTTAGTTAAATTGGATATAACACTGTTGACAGTAAATTTTTACGCTTTTTCTATTTTGTGTCGCCGCATCCCCACCTTGTGACACTACCCAGTCAGCACACATATATTGGCCCAATATTGGCTAAACATTGGTTACCAATATTGCTACATCTTGGTGCAACCTTGGCCAAACAGTGGTAGTGAAACTTGGCATGATATTGGAGCAATATTGGCACTATATTGGCTATATCCCGGCTATATATTGGCCCAACATTGGCCCAATCTTGGCCCAATATTGGCTCTATCTTGGCCCAATATTGGCTACATCTTGATCAGTATACTGACAAGACGACACACCATTCCAGTTAAAATAGACAGCAATCATAGACCTTTGTTAGGGGGTAGATCAATATTATTATAATTATAGTGAGCTACACGTTAAGAACAGCATTTTCTGCGTCTCAACACAAATTGAAGTTATATTAGTTATATTGTTCTAGGTATTAAAAATAACTTTATATACATTTGGCACTCTCTCTTGCATAAACAATTTTTTTCGATTAAACATCAATTATTTCAATATAAATAATATCACTGAAAATGATGCTTCATTACCAAATTCATTCAATCTCTAACTATATCCTAACATTAACCATAACCCCACCAAACCCTCAGGGTTATCAGGGTTGAAGTGCCAAATACATTAGTAACACAAGTTACTGGATTATGCTTGCGACAAATCTACACAAATAAGTTCTCGCATAAATAATACAAATAAAAACAGATGCAAGAAAAATATTGAAATTTATTTTTTTCAAATAATACCAACATAAAATACATTAAAATGTACAAGGTCTATGAAAGAATGATTAGACAAAAATAAAATGAATAAGTTTCGTAAACTTCGGGTATATGCACTAACCGCAGTGTTTACATGAGATGGTATGCCAGTTTGGCAAAAAAAAAACACGGCTGCTAGTGGGCTTATGACATTGACAATGTCTGTAGTTTAGTGGAGAAGTAAATGATAGCTTTTTACAGTCTGTTGAAAGTGGTGTAATGATGTTCAGTTTATGTAGATGTAGGACTAATGATGTTCAGTGTATGTAGATGTATTGATGAATTGCGGTAGGTTTTTGAACATTTAATGGTGATCAGTATACGGAAATATAATGCTCAGTATACAGAAATATAATGCTCAGTATACAGAAATATAATGCTCAGTATACGGAAATTTAATGTTCAGTTTACGGAAATATAATGTTCAGTTTACTGATATGTAAATACATTTTAAAAGCTTGTTGATTCATTTAAAACAAAAAACGACTCCTGGGGTGTGGGTGTTCAAGAAGTAAGACGTAGCATTGTGTTTTGTATATTTTAATATCAAAGTTGATGAAAATGATGAAAAAAAAAACTTTTTAATTTGTGTATGCCTATTGGCATACAAGGTCAGGCAGAAGTTTGAGTGTGAGAGGGGTGTGCACTAGTAGAAGTATATTTTTCTATATAAATTATATATAGCATTGCAGTGCTCCCCCCCTCCCTCCGACAGCTCCCACAAAGATGCCTGAAAGAAACACAGGAGAAAGGGGGTCTGTTTTTGTGTGTGACGATGTATGAAAGTGGGGGAGGAGTTGGGAGGGGGGGGGTAAAATTACGTAGCTTAGCATGATGTAACTTATGGGCGAGCTAAAATGTCTCTACAGCTAAACTACATTGCACGTATACACTACCGCCATGTTACTAATACTAAGTAGTGAATACTAACTGACAAATCCAAGAAGCATCAAAATTACTAATTATACTATACGACTAAATGAACTAAATTGACCATCTAATCTAAATTCAAATTCTGACTAACATAGGCTCATTACTAAGTAGAGATTGAGAACTATGACAAATGAATGATGATGAATGTACAATAAAACAACTAATCAGAATTACAGAGACAGATTTGAGTTACGCACACAGAGAAGGCACAGAAATCCATAAGGCTAAAAAAATTCATATTTGGCATATTAGAAAACAAGGGAGATTACTACAATATTAAATCCTTTGTAAAATTCGCATAATTAATATGATAAGAAAAAACATTATTCAGAGATACATTTAAATTTAATAAAAAAATAGCATGAATATTAATTAAATAATAGTAATTTATCATTAATATAGTAATAATATAAATAATTTCATTTTAAATATTTTGTAAGATAAATACTTATAAGGTATATGTAAATAAAATACATTTTCTTGCATCCCTATGATTTCTAAGGAATTATAAAATGTATAGACTTCTTAAATTAATGAAGATAAATATTGTACGTATTCCTTCACTGTGTGTGTTAGTGTGTACGTATTCCATCACTGTCTGTGTTAATGGTACGTATTCCTTCACTGTCTGTGTTAATGTGTACGTATTCCTTCACTGTCTGTGTTAATGTGTACGTATTCCTTCACTGTCTGTGTTAATGTGTACATATTCCTTCACTGTCTGTGTTAATGTGTACGTATTCCTTCACTGTCTGTGTTAATGTGTACGTATTCCTTCACTGTGTGTGTTAGTGTCAATGTTAGTGTTGGCGCTCAGAGGGGAGGGATAAACAACGAGATGTCAAAGGTCTGATCGAGGTCAAGGACGTCGTTGTCGAACGTCTCGCTGTACGACGTCTGCTGACAGTACTGACTGCTGTCCTCTGTGATACCGCTGTCCAGTGTGTCCACAGTCGACTGACGTCTGACACTGGTCGGAAGCTGACCGACCACGTGGGACGGTGGTTGGGTTTTGTGGTGCAGCTTTATTGGTTGAAGGATGTTTGTAATGTGTTGGGGTTCGTTTTTTTCTTCCATTAAATCTAGAGCAGAGAGAGTTTGAATAAGCTCTTTTTTGTTAGAAATGTCTTTCTTGACACTGTTATCATTTCCGGTTTCCGCCCATTTTCCGGTCACGTGATGATGGGGTTGGGTGTCTATATCTGTCGAGAATTGGTCATTTTCTTCTGGTTGTGGGTACAGGTTTAGAAGTTGGTCATTTGTGATTTGGTCATTTATATGACTTTTTAGATGGTCATTTTGCTGGTTGAAGGTTGGGATGACGTCTTGCAAGGATATGGTATTCTGCTGGTGGGTGTCCTGTAGGACACAGGATGAGGTCACGTGACCAAGGTGAAGGTCAGTGTCCTGCGGGCTGGTTGGTTGAGGGTTGGGGTGGTCTGGCAGGGAATTTTGTTGGTGAGGGGTGGGACTTGGTTTTGTTGAATGTTGTATGTTGTGTTGGGTGTGGGTCGCTTGTTGTATGTTTTCTTGTATGTTTTGTTGGAGGGAATGTTGAACACTTTGTTCAGACATAACTGAATTATCGTGTTGTGTAACTTGTGTTGAATGTTGAAAAACCTGTGGTGATGATCGTTGGTTATTAGGTTGTGAGGAATGTTGGATGATTTGTTGTGAGGAATGTTGAATGTTTATTTGTGATGAATGTTGAAACTCGGTCTGTGGCGAA